GTCTCTGCCACTTATCTATATGACTTTAGCAAGTTTCTTAATCTATTTGTGACTCATTGCTTAACCTGACAAGCATGGATGAAGTTACTCACCTCGCAGGACTGGTTGGGAAGACCGGCACAGTGGTGGACAACTTGCTTTCAGTGCCCAGTACTGCTCAGCATTACTGTAACCCTTATCTAACACATTTCTACCTTGGGAAAGGATTCAGTGTGCTCAGACCGTATCACATCACCACTCCTACTGAAGTTATTTGCGTACAGCTTTTTGACTGCACTGAAGAGCCTCACCCAGCGTTGAATGTCATCAGACCAACTGCAATATTTGAAGAGCCAAATCGCATAAATTCTCAATTTTTCCACCGCATAAGAAATCTAACCTCTTGTCTTAGAAGGCAGTGCTAGCTAGTGGAATCCCACTGTCCCAGGGATAAGACAGGGGCATAGACGGGTTGGAGGGGATTCTGGTGATCTCTGAAAGGCTTATTAGCTAAAATGAGAGACCACTTCTGACTGTGCTTTCAAATCAGTATTAAAGTGAAGCTGGCTAAATGAACTTTATTCAGCCTGAAGACATTCCTCAGCATTTTCTCCCACAGGTGGCATCAAGGTGAAGTTTCACTGCGGCCTTTGGCCTAAAGGCTAATCTCTTTATTTTGATGCCAGCTCTTCTGCCAACTAAATATTATTAATGTTAAATTCTACATTTCTGATAAGAAGAGACCTTTTCTACAGTGAACCACTTCACACGGGGTTTCTTTTCTTCTTATGGACATATCTTTTGTAATTTGAAGAACATAATTAGAGATAATTAATGCTTTATACATAGTGAATGTATTGAAGCATATTCGTAGATTCAAAATGTGAGTCAGTAGCTATCTGATTTACATTTCAGATTAAAATATATTATACTTTACTTTAGCAGGAAACAAGTTATTATAATGACCAAAACGATCTGATTTAAATTTTAAGAAATTTCAAATAAGCAAGGACTCAAAGATATTGCTCATAAAAAGTTAAAAAGAGGACAGATTATAGAATAAAGACATTTCACTTCATATATTTTAATATATACAGTCTTTTTTTTTTTTTTTTTTTTGCTTTATGAGCCATTTGTAACTTAGACATAAAAATCCCCTTTGTCTTTAAAGCTTTTTAGATTTAGGTTCCTCAAGCTGTAATAAATGCTCAGGTAAGGAAACAATATGACACAGGATAGGTCAGCAATTAATCATTCTGTGCCTCATTCCAAATTGTGTTATCCATTGAAAAGAATTCCACTTAATATGTTAAAGTTTTATACATTTTTCACTGTCTGCTACTGCATGAAATATTCAAAGAGCCCTTGGTATAATGAAATAGCTGTTAGAGAAGCTTTTTTAAAAGTGATGATGAATATTGTAATTAAGATTCAAGAAATGAATTTTGTACCAGCTTCTAAAACTGTAAGTAACACATTTTTGAGAAACCACAATAAAAAAGTATAAATTTTCAAGCTAACTACCCATTTTAGGCCATAGGGCCAACTCCAAGAGAAGAACACGGTAATTACTTTAAATATTAAAATAATTTCTACTAACGTTACACAAAATAGTTAACAGTGCAAGGAACTCTAAGGTACTTTTAAACCCTATTAGTGGTGATATGGTGAATTTTGCCTTAAAAGCAAAATAAACATTTTTTCCTCATAAAAATATACTGTGGATATGCTTGACATGTCGGGATTTTAAAATTAAGAATGCAAGTATATTCTTTCCTGGACAGTTTCTGAATCCAGAATGCCTTCCTCTTTCTACCTCCTCATGACTCAGTTTTCCCACTGACTGTTCTGCCTTTCCGGTCTTCCCAAGGCAAATTTTTCCCTCTTCTAACATGACATGTTACATCACTTCTCATGTTGTTTCAGTCTAGTATTAGAGCAGGGTGTCCCAACCTCAGCACTATTGCCACCTGGAGACTTTAGATAACTTCTTGTTGTGGACTGTCCTGTGCACTGTAAGACGTTTAGCAGCCTCCCTGTTCTCCACCCACTAGATACCAGTAACATGACCACCACTCCCAGATGAGACAACCAAAGCTCTTCAGATATTTGTAAGTAATTGCCCTGGGGGGACAAATTCACCTCTGCTTGAGAACCACCATATTAGAGCACCTGGTGTTGTACATAACACTATGTTCAGCTTTGAATATATGCCCCATGGTATGGGACTTTATTCAGAGGTGATGCTCAGTAAATATTTGTTAAGTGAATGCAGCATAATATGGTGTTTTCTTACTGCAGTACCTTGCTAGACTAATAAACATGATACTCTTTAAAATCGAACTCTCAGTTTCACTTGAGGACTTAAGAATACTTCTCTATCCATTTGGCATTTATTTTCCAATATTTGGAATAGAAAGAGGAGAGAAGACAGTGTTTTTCCAAACTGATGGATTTCATTTGAACTCTGTGCTCATAAATTTCTAATGAAACTCTATTCCTTTTTTTTTTTTATTATTACTGGAGAAAGAGGACATCTAAATCTATTCTAAAAAGAGATCAAAGAAAGAGGAAAGGAAGGTGAAAATGGAGAGAATGGAGCAAGGGAATAAAAGAGGAATAAAATAAAGCATAAGTGAGCAATATACAGCAGGTTTTTCTATACTCACAAGCCCATTTATGTAAAAACTGAATTAAAAATATTTTTAAAGAAAGTATGTCTTCCAATTTGAAGACGGTGAAAAAATAATTCATTAATTATTCATTGTTTTTCCCCTTATATTTAATGTTACAATTAATTTGCTAACACAGATCAGGAAAAAACAGAAAGGAGAAAGAGATGTGAAAGAACATTTTAACAAGAGAGAGGGAAAGAAGAAAATGGAGTAAGGGAAGATTTCATGAGAATATGAGAACAAAATATGGATGTTTTAAAAAGCACAGTTAAATTTCTAAAGGATTCCAAGTTCTTTTACACAACATGTTGATTAAGTAACACTTGAATGATGATTCATTAATACTTGTAGAGTATGAGTTAGAAATGAAGGAGACAAAAAATCAGGTTGTGATTTGTTAGTCATAAAGTAAATGAAATATGTAAAATTTGTTTCCAAATAATGTTCACTACTTTACAAGCTGAGTTTCTCTAATTAGTTCTGTATTCTTAACTTAAGAAATCATGAGAGAAAAAGCTCAAGTAATGGGAAAAGATTCATTCAGGGTATTTGGCCTTTATAATTTAATTAGCATCAAGAAGATGCAGGCATCATGGTTAAGTGCACAGGATTTAGATCTAGAGGAGCTGACCTGGAATCTGGATCCTCACTTTCCAGCAGTGTGACACTGGATTTGGGTTCCCCCGGGAGCAGAAAGTTGACACAAGCATTCCATGGTAAATGGTCCATCTGGGAAGGCATCCTCCCTGAAGGGATGAAGCTTCATCTCACAGGGGAACTTTGGAGTTTGCGTAAAATTCATTTTAGAGTTGTCCCAACTGAGGAAGCTGACGTTTTGTCTGTTTTTTAATCTGCCAGCTTCCTATCTTTCACTGGTTGAGGGCTGCTTCCTGGGGGTTAACTGTCTGACAGCCCAGCTTACCCTGAATGGAGCTCCTTAGGCAGAGGGTAGCAGGGGTTTGCAGTGTGTAGCACCAGCTCCCATTTCAAATTTTATATTTGAAAGATACCATAACACCAGTATGGTCTTTCTAAATTATATTAACAAAATATAAATTAGATTAACAAAAATTGAACAATAAATATTCACGGGTATTTGGTACTGAGTCAAGTTCTAGAAAATTACTTGAATAATTGCAACAATATTTACACTGGAAACTGAGACTTCATTTGGTCATTTTGGACTCTTCCTGATACTAGGATAGCAGGTACAAAAAAGGGAGAGTTGATCCTACTACTAATTGTAAATGTGCATCTGCAGGGAGGATACCAAAGGAATCCAAGGGGTGGCACCCAAGTTCCTCTCTTTCAACACACCCCATGTCAAATGTTCATAGAAGAGTAGAGCAGCCCATGTAAATAAGACCCTCGAGAATTCAACTCTTCTATGTTTCTCTGTCAGTTAAAAAACCCTGGAAGCTGAGGTTCTTTAGAAGCCAAAGGAAATATGGGCTGGCCCCGGGCATTTGGAAGTCATACATACGACCCATGACTTTAGGGACTGTTACAGAAATGGGGATTGCATCCTTTAATATGTTCTATTTGGGGGTATGTCATACAGAATTCTAACATTCAGTGAATTTTCCTCTCTCTCTCCTTTCCCTATCTTATAAGAGATATGGTGCTGTTGCTAACTTTATTATTCAGTCTATGGTAATGAGTATTGCGATAGGATTGTGATAGAATTGGAAGAAAGGAATTGGATAAAAACTCAAACACTGCATCCATTAATTGAGGAGACTTGGCTCACCTCTGTTTTTGATTGAACAATGGTTATGTTCTGTTAGCAGTGTTTCTTCCTCCTCCCCTCCCCCCAGCTTGAAAGTATAAGCAAGTATTTGAGCAGGTAGAAAGGAGAATTGTAGAGAGAGGGCAGGTGATAGTGGAGAAGTCTCCATTATCACCACAGACGTGGAAAGCATATATGAGCTGCGGTGGGTCCCACTGGAGGAAGCTGGGCTGCAGCCTTCTGGCTGGGACCCCATTCCAGAGGGCTGGACACTAGGAGTAGACACTCAAGGAGCAGGAAGCCACAGTAGGTGCTGCAGGAGGCAAGAACTGAGGGCTCCCTGAAGGGAGCTGAGCAGATAGGAGGATCCCTAGCACGGGGCCCTCAGGAAGCAGGTACTGGACGCAGCTGTACAGGGCTTCAGTGTCTGCCCCCAAAACCCTGAAGCAGAGAGGGGTCTAGAAGATGATGGGGACGGGGGAGCAAAGTGCACCTTCAAGTCCCCTTCACACCTCAGGTCCTTTGGGCCTGATCATGCTGGGCTGGGGGGCAGTCGGAGGGATGACAAGGGAGGGAGGGAGGAGATGGAAATAGTTTCCACCCAGCATGGTTGAAGGTAACTATCAGAGAAAAGGCAAGCCATTTCATATCCATAGCCTACCAATTTCAATTATGCCAAAAAAAAAAAATTGTGTACTTAGAGAAAGCCAGAAAAGGGGAGTAAAAAAAGAAAAAGAAAGACCCAAGACGAAAATAAGTTATGTTGTCAGGGATTATTAGGATTATGAATCCTCTTATTCCCCCCCGCTATTTATTTTTGATGTTGCCAAACAATTCATACAAAAGAAAATCAACACGTGTGCCAAATTCCATACACAATTGATACACATATGTAGTTTTTTTGGTGTAACATCTATGTTGAAACATGGGTTGTGTGTATATACACATAATGTATACCTGTAAAAGCAGAGCTAAGTTTTTATACACTCACATTCTTCGGGAATAAAGCAACGACACTATTCTGATAAGATGTGTTAGAACTGCATTCATATTTACACAGTTTAGAAAACCTTGAGGGATCATGGGTTCAAGGAGTAATGTATATCTTGACAAGGCTTTATGACTCAACTCTTTTCTCCTTTCTGGAACCATCCTAAAAATGTAAGCTGGGTTTGAAGATCACATTAAAAGGAGCATAGCATTTAGTCGGATACTATCAGAAAGCGCAGAGTATAATATTAAAGACAGGTCAAGCACCTACCTAGCACCTACCTACCTTGGCATTATCTTCCATGTAATTAGAAAAATGAAAATATCCATGACGAAACATAGACAAGTCTGGAGCATTCTCATCCGAGGAGAAAGATCCGTATGCTTCCTTTGAAGGAGCTCTCATGAATGAAGACAGTGTCCTCTTATTTCTTTTTATTATATCTGGGAGGCAATTTATTATGTTCTAGAGTTTGAGCCTGCATATGGCTTTTTTTGTTTTTTGACTCAGAGGGACATTTTCAATAATCTCTCAGAAATGCCAGATCTTAAATACATGGAATTACCAAAATATAATAAATCACAAAGCAACTTGAAAGAAAGGTTGTTTAACAGTAATATCCTAGAAGCTTATGAGGTGGGGACTTTGCCACATGAAACAGATCTGAGTTTCCAATAAAATACTTGGCTCTTGGCTCATTTCAAAGTAAAAGTTAAAATTTTTCTCATATAAAATTAGGATTAAATGAGTTTGCCCTCCTGAAAACCCGACAGCAGGAGATTTTTGCATTTGAAGTCAGGATTTGGGGAATTATGCTCTTACTTTGGAAGTTACAAAGACCAACAAACACTAACTCTTTTGTTCTAAATTGAGAATATCAGTTATGGATATTCAAAACTAGGGTTTACTAAATTTTATGAAATTAGAAGCAAGAGCAAAGCTCAACCACTCTATATAGTTTTAGTATTGAGCATATCCCAGTGTTACTGAAATTATAAAATAATGTGCTAAAGATTGGGCAATTTTCTATGAATAATAATTACCCATTCTTATTGCTGCTTTAATTTATTATAGTCAAATTAGAGATATTATTTATAATGATTTCTATGTTGAAGTTTAGTTGTGTTCAGTTTACTTATTCTCACATCCAATGTGTTACTTACTCTGTGAGGTTTGAGTGTCTATGAATTTCTTTATCAAGGCATCAGTTGTTTGGGTATAAAGACTGAGAGCGTATCTCAGAGACTGAAGATCTGGGCTTTTCTCCAAGAAATTCTTTTTCAGGCCATTTCCTCCTGCATGAAAGTATTGCTAAAAAGAAAAAAAATAATGTAAGCAGAGGCATTTAGAAAGAAGTATTAGATGAGGGATTTTATTGCCATAATCGTGAGGCTCAAATGGAATAATACAGTATGATCAACATGAGGTAGATACAAAGAAATAGCACCAGCTGGCCACTGCCAAGTCATCACCACGTAGTTCAGGTTCTCTCAGTATCTCTGAAGTGTTGCTCTGCATCACAGACATCAGATCCTCACAGCTTAAGACTCTTCCTCTCATTCAACACTTAAGTTAAAGAAACGGGATCATGAAGATGCAGTGGCCAGCATGCTTACAGAGTGCCAGGTTTAGATACTGTGTCAACTTGGTTGTTGACTTCCGTTTCCAGAACATGAGAAAAACATCCAGGGTTGTCAAATTTCATAAAGAAGGTATCTCCTGGTCATGTATTTTCTAGATACTAGTTTGCAATTCTAGGACAGGTGCCCACTGCTCCCATCTTCCCCATGATCTAATCACACAATGGTGCACACATAGGCCAACGTGAGGATGCACAGTGGTCCTTGGAAATCCAACATCTCCTGAACCTTGTGTCTGAGAAATGCAATGAAACAGAGTTTCTTTCTTCTTCTTTTTTTGCTCTTGTCGTCCAGCAAACTCAAAGCATTGCAATATTTATAGGTAAGGTAATAGAGAACATATATATTTGACAATAAATGAGGTGATTGAGGGATACGAGCATTTCTAATGCTGCAGGTATTAAGCACAGACATCACTTTGGAGGACTCACTAGAGATACGTGATAGGACTAAGGATGTTATTTCCCAACCATTTAGAGATGATAATGTGTTTATAGTATTCTATTAATGGTAGATAAATGGTTCTCTCTCTCTCCCTGTACCAACAAAGCTAAACTACACCCTCATTGCAACCTGCCTCGTACAATCTAGGATTCTCACAGAATGGCATGTTTTGGAAAAGCTCAACAAATGATTCTGATACACTCTCCTAAATGGATATATGTTATCCCTCTATCCCACTTCTTAAAAATTTCTGAGGTGAAACATGTCAGTGAACTGAAAATTCATAATTGTCTTAGTTTTCTTCCCTAAGTAGAAACACATTCTGAGCATTTGTAGGCATCTGAGTGTAATTTCACAGACCGTAATGTAGAGAAGACTAAGGGCACAGGCCTGAGGAAGTAGGCAATGGTGATATGATCTGAAGAAAGTCTGTTACAACTGCAGACACCGTCCTCCCAAAGAAAAACCCATGGCCACTTACAGTTCCTTTCCACTCCAGCTGGGTGCACTGTGAAAACACAAGCTGCACCTAAAGCTACCTATGGTTATGAAGAGGAGGCACAGCAAAATGGGAAGAGCCTTTTCTTATTTTTGAAGAGTCAACAAAGATGTAATATTTAAACTTGTTCTATACCTTGATCTTCTTATATAAATGTTAAAATATTTTCACATGTAGAAAGTATTTATCAAAGACTGAGAGTCTGGAATTGTTTCAGGTGCTTTGGTGGATGAAAAAAAATATCAGAGTTCCTTTCTTTAGGAAAGGTGATATGATACTTAAAGTGGAAAAATATTAAATGAGTGTATTGAAAGGGGAAGGTTTCACTTGGACTTGATTGTTTTTCCTGGAGGAGTGGTGGGGTGAGCTCTGGAGCTCTGTTTACGTAATGACCCAGGGAAGTATCAGATGAAATAACATACCCTAACTGTAAAGAGCAGTGGGATAAACTGAACTAGGACTAGGTGGCATCTGTGGAGGGGAAGGCATTCTCCCTCTCAGTGTTTCCCAGACAAACTTCAGTTTTGTCAAACCTGAGCATAAGTGCTGGAGAATTAAATTAGTAAAGTACAGGAAGAATAACGAGCAGCAGCTACAATGATGTTTCACGATCTCCTGGCAACTAAGAGTTGTTAGAAATGCAAATTAATTATTTCTGGTGGGATGCAACTGATGACTGTTTTGTGGCTAGATCTGTTTTGCCTCTATTTGTAAATTTATTTCAACTTTCCTCATTGCTTATCTTTGTGTGTGGTTCTTGGAAATCTTCTTTGAGCCAGTTATAAGATCTTACTGGTTCCCTCATTAATTGATGAGTTAAATAATATTCTGGACAAGTTTTATAACTGCATGAATGTCACAGTTATACTCTAATTTTTTAAATTAATTTTTATTGGAGTATAGTTTATTTACAATGTTATGTTAGTTTCTGCTGTACAAAAAAGTGAATCAGTTATACATATACATATACCTACTTTTTTATATTCTGTTCCAATATAGGTCATTACAGAGTACTGAGCAGAGTGTTCCCTGTGCTATACAGTAGTTTCTTATTAGTTAACTATTTTATATATAGCAGTGTGTATATGTCAATCCTGAACTCCCAATTTATCCCTCCCCCCTTCCCCCTTGGTAACCAAAAGTTTGTTTTCTACATCTGCGACTCTATTTGTTTTGTAAATAGGTTCATTTGTACCATTTTTTTTAAAAGATTTCACATACAAGCAATATCATATGATATTTGTCTTTCTCTGTCTTACTTCACTCAGTATGACAATCTCTAAGTCCATCCATGTTGCTGCAAATGGCACTATTTCATTCTTTTTATGGCTGAGTAATATTCCATTGTATATATGTGCCACATCTTTATCCATTCATCTGTCAGTGGACGTTTACGTTGTTCCCATGTCCTGGCTATTGTAAATAGAGCTGCAATGAACATTGGGGTACATGTCTCTTTTCGAATTATGGTTTCCTTTGGATATACGCCCAGGAGTGGGAGGATGATATGGTGGTACTACTTTTAGTTTTTTAAGGAACCTCCATATTGTTCTCCATAGTGTGGCTGCATCAATTTACATTCCCACAGTGTAGGAGGGTACCCTTTTCTGTGTTTTTTAATCACAGTTTCAATTTCAGTACTTGTGATTGGTTTGTTCATATTTTCTAATTCTTCCTGGTTCAGTCTTAGAAGGTAGTATCTTTCTAAGAATTTGTCCATTACTTCTAGGTTGACTATTTTATTGGCATATAGCTGCTTATAGTAGTCTCTTATGATCCTTTGTATTTCTGCGGTGTCAGTTTTAACTTCTTTTTCATTTCTAATTTTATTGATTTGAGTCCTCTCCCTCTTTTTCTTGATGAGTCTGGCTAAAGGTTTATCAATTTTGTTTATCTTCTCAAAGAACAAGCTTTTGGTTTTACTGATCTTTGCTATTGTTTTCTTTGTTTCTATTTCATTTATTTCTGCTCTAATCTTTATGATATCTTTCCTTCTGCTACCTTTGGGTTTTGTTTGTTCTTCTTTCTCTAGTTCCTTTAGGTGTAAGTTTAGATTTTTTACTTGAGATTTTTCTTGTTTCTTGAGGTAGGCTTGTATAGCTATAAACTTCCCTCTTAGAACTGCTTTTGCTGCATCCCATAGGTTTTGGATCATCATGTTTTCATTGTCATTTGTCTCTAGGTATTTTTTTATTTCCTCTTTGATTTCTTCAGTGATCTCTTGGTTATTTAGTAACCTATTGTTTAGCCTCCATGTGTTTGTGTTTTTTACTTTTTTTTCCCTGTAACTGATTTCTAATCTCATAGTGTTGTGGTCAGAAAAGATGCTTGATATGATTTCCGTTTTCTTAAATTTTATTGAGGCTTGATTTGTGACCCAAGATGTGATCTATTCTGGAGAATGTTCCATGTGCGCTTGAGAAGAATGTGTAATCTGCTGTTTTTGGATGGAATGTCCTATAAATATCAATTAAATCTATCTGGTCTATTGTGTCATTTAAAGCTTGTGTTTCCTTATTAATTTTCTGTTTGGATGATCTGTCCATTGGTGTAAGTGAGGTGTTAAAGTCCCCCACTATTACTGTGTTACTTTCGATTTCCTCTTTTATAGCTGTTAGCAGTTGCCTTATGTATTGAGGTGCTCCTATGTTGGGTGCATATATATTTATAATTGTTGTATCTTCTTCTTGGATTGATCCCTTGATCATTATGTAGTGGCCTTCCTTGTCTCTTGTAACAGTCTTTATTGTAAAGTCTATTTTATCTGATATGAGTATTGCTACTGCAGCTTTCTTTTGATTTCCATTGCATGGAATATCTTTTTCCATCCCCTCACTTTCAGTCTGAATGTGTCCCTAGGTCTGAAGTGGGTCTTTTGTAGACAGCATATATATGGGTCTTGTTTTTGTATCCATTCAGCAAGCCTGTGTGTTTTGGCTGGAGCATTTAATCCATTCACATTTAAGGTAATTATCGATATGTATGTTCCTATTACCATTTTCTTAATTGTTTTGGGTTTGTTTTTGTAGGTCCTTTTCTTCTCTTGTGTTTCCCACTTAGAGAAGGTCCTTTAGCATTTGTTGTAGAGCTGGTTTGGTGGTGCTGAATTCTCTTAGCTTTTGCTTGTCTGTAAAGCTTTTGATTTCTCCATCGAATCTGAATGAGATCCTTGCTGGGTAGAGTAATTTTGGTTGTAGGTTCTTCCCTTTCATCACTTTAAGTAGATCATGCCACTCCCTTCTGGCTTGTAGAGTTTCTGCTGAGAAATCAGCTGTTAACTTTATGGGAGTTCCCTTGTATGTTATTTGTTGTTTTTCCCTTGCTGCTTTTAATAATTTGTCTTTAATTTTTGTCAGTTTGATTACTATTTGTTTCAGTGTGTTTCTCCTTGGGTTTATCTTGCCTGGGACTCTGTGCCTCCTGGACTTTGGTGGCTATTTCCTTTCCCATGTTAGGAAAGTTTTTGACTATAATCTCTTCAAATATTTGCTTGGGTCCTTTGTCTCTCTCTTCTCCTTCTTGGACCCCTATAATGCAAATGTTGGTGCATTTAATGTTGTTCCAGAGGTCTCTTAGGCTGTCTTCATTTCTTTTCATTCTTCTTTCTTTATTCAGTTCCACAGCAGTGATTTCCACCATTCTGTCTTCCAGGTCACTTATCCGTTCTTCTGCCTCAGTTATTTTGCTACTGATTCCTTCTAGTGTATTTTTCATTTCAGTTAGTGTATTGTTCATCTCAGTTTGTTTGTTCTTTAATTCTTCTAGGTCTTTGTTAAACATTTCTTGCATCTTCTCAATCTTTGCCTCCATTCTTTTTTCAAGGTCCTGGATCATCTTCACTATCATTATTCTGAATTCTTTTTCTGGAAGGTTGCCTATCTCCACTTCATTTAATTGTTTTTCTGGGGTTTTATCTTGTTCCTTCATCTGGTACATAGTCCTCTGCCTTTTAACTTTATCTAAGTTTCTGAGAATGTGTTTTTTGGTCCACAGGATGCAGGATTGTAGTTCTTCTTCAAAAGCTCCACTTTAAATAGGGTTTCTCCATTGGCCTCTGTAGCAGCTTGCACATACTGATTAAGTTGTTAGCTGTCTGTCTGTTTCAGAGCTGTTGCCTTGTCCTTTTATTTTCAAATGCTGTTGATTTGGCTCAGTGTTGGCAGGTAAATGTAATGTCTCTAAGGCCAACTACGCCAGCTGCGGCAGATCATTGTAATTCTGTTTCTTGTGCCATGTTCTATCCTTTTAACTTACAATTGAAACTACCTGCAACTGGTATGACTAATCCAGTCCAATTAGAATTTTAGTATTTAAGAAAGTTAATATTTTCATTGGTACTTGTGTAGAGGTTGAAGGATTTCACATTATTTTAAATAATTAAAAAGAAAACTAAATAATTGAAATACAGTATTTTAACTTAAAAAGAACTAATCTCCCTGTAGGAATATTACCTGTTTTGGCTTGCTACATTTTCCTACACCTTGTTAACATTTAGTTAAATAATGAAACATAGAAGCAAGGACACTGATTTTAGAGTTTGGAATCTTTTCTCAGCTCTGCCAATTACAAGCAACTCTGTGGCCTTAGCCAAACAAGTTAAACCTGCTTAGCCTCTGCTTTTTCATCTGTAAAATGTGAATGATCATTCTTGATGTACCTAACACCCAGGATGCTTATAAGGATCAGGAGAGAGAATTTACGTATACGAAAGATGACTGAAATAATGCAAACACTATTTCAGTCTATAGTCTACAAATTCCATAGCATTCTCTTCCTTCAGTTCTCACTTTCTCATGTCCAGCTTATTTGCTTAAATTCAGCTAAAGAGGAATTAAGGATCATGTCTTTGGCAGCGGAATTAAGGATCATGTCTTTGGCAGCCTGGGTAGCATCTACTGCTTCGGTATAAGAATATCTTTCTCATGAAGTCTCTGCCTTACAGTATTTCCTTTGCTGGGCTCCCAGCAGACATTGAATCACTAGCTCTTGAGGCTACAATTCTTTTAAGTAGTAGTACTCTTTCTCCTGAATTCCTTTTCAGTCAACATTATGGTTAGTGCCTTGTAGTATAGTCAGGGCGAATTTCAGAATCAGAAAAGATAAGAGAGTCTCAAAGCAGGTAAAGCAGGTGTAGCATGGGGACCCCAGAGAAAAAGTTGGGAAATAAGGAGACTGAAGACCTGACCTCAGACTCTGAGGTTCAGAAGGACCAGGGTCAGACTCTGGTCCTGGAGAACAAGATAATGATGTGGATCTTGGACACCAGGCAGTAGTTTTTTCCTGAAGAGCAAGGCAAGTGTCTGGTGGCTGAGGCTGAACTAAAATATCATTGGATGACCTGGGAAGGAAAATGGGATAGTTGAGCTGTCAACACGTAGATCAGGGGGATCTGCTTGGGGATCAGGATTGTCCCAGAGTTTGGGCAGAACTAGTCCTGCAGGAGGTGGTCATTTGTCCCCACCAAGAAGAATTAGAGAAATGCTGGGGTTAGGAACAGGAGCCAGGCCTGTCAGTACATTGAATGCCATTCTCTATTTTCACAGAACATATTTTTCTTGTGCTCTCTCTTAGAGTCATCCATTGACCTTATAAAATCCATGAAGGGCTGAATTCTGATTTTAAAAATCTTACTTTTTTTTTTTCATGGTGTGCCTCAGAGTTATTTTTTCTACTATCACTTCCTTATTTGTAGCCATTAGTGCTTCTATAACTCCATAGGGTCAGTCATTTCTTATTCATATTTTTGAAAATTATTTTCAAAAAGAACAGGTTTTTTATTTTTTCATGTTTACCATTAAAAAAAAAGATTTTGCAAAATGTTTATACTTCCAGCCCATACTCTGGCTGCATCTTTAGAAACTCCATCACTGTCATCTCACTGCTGAAATTCACACTTGCCACATTCCACCAGGTGTCACAAAATAGTCACCTCACAAATTTCATTTTGCAGTTTTTGATACTGAAGCAGCAAAAGATGTCCTCTTATTAAATGCTGAAACTACAAAAGTCATGAAGTAATAGTGTTTTGAAGGTGTCCAATTGTTATACAAATAGAACTCTGTTTTAATGACTACCGTTGCAGTGTCTGTTTCTATCCAGTGAGATTATTCTGTGCTTGGAAAATGGCTTGTGGTAACTCACAGTTCTTTGCTAAACTATTCACACATCCTTGATAACAGATGCTTCCCCAAGTGAAGTATTGAGACATTGGACACAGTCCAAATTTAGGAGATGAATTAATTTTTCACTCTTTAATAAACTTTCACATATAAATATAAAATTTATGTATATAAATCTATAAAGAATCACATGAAAACAAAGAACTTCTAAGTTATGTTTTGAGATCTGCCTATATTTAGCCCACAATTCAATAACTTTTGGTTAACCTCTGGCTATGAAAAATTGATGAACACAATGCAATGCCTTTGCGTTTTCAGCAGAAAACTAAATTATTGTCCTTACTAAGAGAGAAGAGAAAATTGATCTTTCCAAAACCATTTCAGCAAGCATAGAAAACACAAACGGAAATTCTGTTAACCCTAAATCCCCTATTTAACTGGGCTTTGGGGGTACATGTCTTTCTTCGAAAACACCTGTTAAACGTAGATTTCAAACACATTTTCTAAAGGCAGACAAAGGAAGCAACTCTAAGGGCAGAGCAATATGGATGTAATAATGACATAGTATGGCCTAAGTCTGACACACTCCCAGAATGTATGTGTACAACTGTCTACTGTGTCTATGGATGGCACAGCTCTACAGACATGCATATGGGGGTACCTTTCTCTGAGGGTACACAGAGAACTCTGGATCCATATCCAGGGACACTATAACCTTACCTTGATGGTAGCCAGGACCACCTCCATTATAGTACACTGTCTCGGTGTCAGACCCTTGGTATCCTCTCGAATCATGTGCTCCTGGAAAACAAGTGAAAAACTGCTTATAAAATTACCAGTTCATTTATTTAACAACTGTTTTCAAACAAAATCTGTATATAATCCCTGTATGCAGATATTTCCCATTTGAGATATCTTTTTCATATGAACACATTTTAGAGGATGATTTTGTCAGATATTTACTAAAAATCCATTTTGCCAAAAGAAGAAATGCTTTTGAATGTTTTAATTTTAAAATGCTTTTAAATGTTTACTTAAAAAGCAGTGCTTTGCATAGGTGGCTTTATTTTTCACCTGCAAGCCAATGGTAGGGGAAAAAAAAAGAGATAAACCTGGAAAATGTGTGTCCAAGCTTTTCCATCTTAATTCCTGCTTTCTGTCTGTCACACAGAGGAAGGTCCATCATGTAAGGGATTTAGGAGGTAAATTTTAGCCTCATTCAATTATCACTGATAAAACCTACTTTAAGTATAATGCTCCCACTTTTTCTTTCTCGGACACCCTTAATGCTTAGTCATTACCAGGAAAATTCCTAAAGAATTAACTGATTTCGGCTCTGGAGATTTTCTATATTTTAAAGTCATTTTTCAATATTTTGGAACTGATTTCCATATTAACAATGCATTTTCCTCATTGTTCACTATGAACTCTCTATTTAGAACTATTTTAGGGAAATGATGGTAGAAAGTTGAAGACAACAATAAAGGAACTTTGTCTAAAAGAAAAATTTAGAAATTCCTGACCCCCATATTGATATAATCTCCCCAGGGCGTCCACTCTTCTATGTCAACAACATTCAACAAATATTTATTGAGTGCTTATTATGTGCCAGCACTGTTCTAGGTGACAGATATATTGTTTCATGAAAGACTTTTATCCTCCTGGAACTTAAATTCTAACTTATGTAAGTGCCTCTTTGTGAATTAGAAGGAAAGCTGATGTAGCTCTGAGAATACATGACTTGGTCAAGGGATCAGTGCTTTTGGCTAGTAATAAAAGGTGCCTCTTTTTCTACAGGGCACAGCTGCACATCAATACATGTGGCTTAGCAAGTGTTGCATGGTCCCTAAGTTGGCTGTCATTCACTCCCTTAGTGGGACAGTTTTGTGCAATGTACGAATTGTACAGTCACAGACAGTGGCTCATCCTTCTATTCTAGCCTTTGTCTTACTCTGTCATTTAGTAGAGGCCATGACCTTCTGAAGATAATCTATATGTTTTACTCACTTCTGCAGACTTTCAGTGCCTATCTTGGCAATTATCACCTGCTAGCCCCTCAATATGTTTTTCATAATTGAATTGTACTTCTTCAGCATATCCTAAATGATTCAATATGCTTGAATGGAATCACACTCCTTTGAATATTGTTGAAAACATGGTATAATGCTGGACCCATGATATACAATTCTGCATCTCACTGCCTCTTTCTCGGATATAGGGATTTCAACACAAACATGAGTCCATTTAATATTTTAAAAATATTTAAAAAATGGTTGAGACCCAAAAAAAGGATGGAAATTTTTTGCCAAATTATAGAGAGAAATGCTTTACTTTATATTAAATAAATCTCTCTGACTTCATCAATCTTGACTGGCTTTTTGATGAGGTCAGATTATTTTTTAATAGATGCTAATACATAATATATGTTAGTGCTATAGAAAAATACAATTCTTGCAAGAAATGATTTTCTGGGATTTAGCAATAGCTCATTGAAATAAGGTAGTCTCTGAAAAAGTCTTGTAATGAGTTACTCCTTGCTTGCATAAATTCATAGTCTCAGATGTATTTTTAGTAACTGGTTTTGATATTGTATCACCCGTTCATAAAGATGTATTCAGTTTTTAAAAAATGTTATGCCAAATAAATCTGATCCCATAAAATAGTGATAAGTTGGGCATACTTAATATACATACATTATAAAGTTCCAGAGGATGAAGTAATATAGAATATGTCAACATCTGAATAAATGTTTGCTTAATGAATTAATCCTAAATCATAATCACATGCAGAAAAGCAATTAGTTTCCCTCATTGTTCTATTTTCCTTGTTCTTTTAAGTAAGGTAGTCATTTGTTAATATTTCTATATAGGATTTCTGAATTTACTCATCAATACAGTTATTTCAAATGATGCTTTTCCTGTGGATCAAATATGCTTTCAAATTAATACATGAAAATGAAAAGACCCATGATTTAAAATGAAAACATTGAAAGTAACATTCTAGTAAAATATGGGAAAACAGCTTCATAAAATTTGCAGTTCTGCCTAGAACAGAACATAGGAAAACATTCTGACATAAATTGTACCAATGTTTTCTTAGGTCAGTCTTCCAAGGCCACAGAAATAAAAGGAAAAACCAAGAAATGGGACCTAATCAAATGTACAAGCTTTTCAGCCACATAGCACAGGGAGATCAGCTTGGTGCATTGTGACCACCTAGAGGGGTGGGATAGGGAGGATGGGATGGAGATGCAAGAGGGAGGGGATATGGGGATATACATATAGCTGGGTCACTTTGTTATAAAGCACAAACTAACACACCATTGTAAAGCAATTATACTCCAATAAAGGTGTTAAAAACAATAATAAAAAACAAACCAAAAAATGTACCACCTTTTGCACAGAAAAGGAAACCATAAACAAAATGAAAAGACAACCTATAGACTGGGAGAAAATATTTGCAAGTGATGTGACTGAGAAGGGTTAATTTCCAAAATATACAAACAGCTCATACAACTCAACAATAGAACACCAAACAACCCAATCAAAAAATGGGCAGAAGAACTAAATAGACATTTCTCCAAAGAAGACACACAGATGGCCACAGGCACATGAAAGGATGCTCAACATTACTAATTTTTAGAGGAATGCAAATCAAAATTACAATCAGGAATCACCTCACACGGATCAGAATGGCCATGATTAAATCTCTACAAATAAGAAATGCTGGAGAGGGTGTGGAGAAAAGGAAATCCTCCTACATTGTTGGTAGGAATGTAAGTTGGTGCAGCCACTATGGAAAACAATATGGAGGTTCCTCAAAAAACTAAAAATAGAGTTGCCATACAATCCAGCACTCCTGGGCATATATCTGGACAAAACTACAATTCAAAAAGATACATGCAACCTTATGTTCATTGCAGCACTGTTCACAATAGCCAAGACATGGAAACGACTTAAATGTCATTGACAGATGCATGGATAAAGAAGATGTGGTACATATATACAATAGTACTACTCAGCCATAAAAAAAGAATGAAATAATGCCACTTGCAGCAAAACACGGCTGGAACTACAGGTCATCATACTAAGTGAAGTAAGTCAGAAAGAGAAAGACAAATACCATGATATTGCTTACATGTGGAATCTAAAATATGACACAAATGAAGCTATCTACAAAACAGAAACAAACTCACAGACATAGAGAACAGACTTGTTGCCAAGGGGGTGTTGGGGGAGGAATGGATTGGGAGTTTGGGGTTAGCAAATGCAAACCATTATAATATATAGAATGGATAAATAACAAGGTCTTACTGTGTAACACAGGGAACTATATCCAATCTCCTGTGGTAAACCACAAAGGTAAAGAATTTTTAAAAGAATATATATATATGTATAACTGAATCACTTTACTGTATAGCAGAAATTAACACAACACAATAAATCAACTTCAGTTAAAAAATTTTCAATTCTGTGTTTTGGCTAGAGTTTTAATTTTTTAGATAACAATATAGAGGGCTTATTGCTCTGTAATTCAAATAATAACAACTAAATGGACCAAAAATTTAAAAATCAAGGGACAATAATTGGAAAACATGATTTAAAACTAAGTTATTTTTCCATCACCTGTGGATAACACGAATCTGTTTTTAGTCCTTCAGATTATTTCAGTCTTAATGAATTTAACTCTTTTAGGACATTTTATTCATAATTTGCTTTTAGTTCATTATAATCAAAAGAGAATTCACTGAATTGAGGAAATTTTGAGGCCATGAAGGGACCTAAAGTGTGATGTTTTCTGTGGACTCCGATTTTTCCCAGGTAGCGTGCATATGCCCCCTGAGGATCCGGTCTCTCCCATTTAGTGTTCATAAGATTTGAATGGGCTGCCTGCACCCCCAGCTCAGGGGTGGGTGGGTATGTGAATTAAGCCAAATAGCATATGCCATTCCCCAGGCCACAGTAGTTGGCTTGGGAGTGGTGAAAATATTCTATTAGAGTTGATGATGTGCCAGTGGATTTTGCTGGAATTCCTTGCACCAAGGGGGGGGGTGTTCTTTTTTTTTTTTATACAAGATTTCAAGTTCAAAAATGTTAGATATAAGCAGAGAACCATCTTACAAACAGGAAGGGAGGTTTGTTAAAGCAGTAAGTCAAACAAGGAAAGAGCGGAGTTGAGAGACAGTGAGTAACTGGGTTCTGTAACATTGTTTCACTTCCTAATCAAGCAGTGATGGAAACCAGAGTTATCCCAGGAGTATAAAGTTTCATGGAGCAATGAATTCCTTTCTTGCTTTTGTTAGTGTGGCTTTCCATCACTTGAAACTGAAATAGTTATAGCTGATATAACAAACATTCAGTTCAGAAAACTGAAGCTGGGGGAGATGGAATATGTTTCCCGATGTCACACAGAATGCTAGACACATAGCCAGGGCTATTTCTTTTGTAATAAGCCACTGTGATGTTTCACTTTCATGGTTTTCTATGAGAAACTTCAATACTATATAAATCCATTTTTCAAAGTAGGGACTAGAAATGTCAGGGAGGTAATAAGAGGAATGAAGAAAGCAATGGAGATCAAGATCCAAAACGATAGTTTGACAGTGACATCTACCTTCTACTTTCCCTCTGAACCACCGACATCACTGAATACCTGTGAGAATTTTATGTCATGGTTATGTCTTCTAAATGGATTATTGGCTTTTAATGTTTTTCTGACAAAGGGGATAATGAAGGTGATATAATAAAGTACTGACATTATAGGGCACCTATTTTATCTCAGTAAGTAATTATACAGTCAAATGGATATCCTTTGCCTGTGTTGTACACACAAAACAGTGCCAGTGATACCTAACCCTGAGCTGCCAGCTGGGGGAGGAAGCAAGATAACCTCTGTGAGTGGGAGGTGGCATACTCTTGACAGGCACCATGCAAAGATAATGCATGCATTAGTTCATGTATCCTCACAACAATTCTCTGAACCAGGTGCTAACATTGTCTGGATTTTACAAATGCCAAATCTGAAAATTAGGTTAAATACTTTGGGCAGTATCACATGCTTGGAAGCAGCTGAGGTAGAATTTGAGCCAAGGTGGTCAGTATCTGGAACCCACCCCCATGCTATACTATATTCTAATAGGTAGTAATGGAACAGGAACAAATATTTCAGCTACAGGCACAATGTTGGCCTATATGTAGTCCACTGATACATGAATGGATAAAAAACGTGGTATATACTTACAGTAGAATATTATTCAGCCTTTAAAAGGAAGGAAATCCTGCCATGTACTACAACATGGATGAACCTGCAGGACATTATGCTAAGTGAAAAAAGCCCGTCACAGAACTGCAATATATATTTTAACCAATCAAGTTCCTATTCTAGAGGGGAAAAAACCTGAGGTTCCCTGCACAACTGCAAAGTCTTGTGAGTCTCAAGCGATAATAAAAGGTAAGGTTATTTATACAGCAAATCCTTGCTGTAATGGGGTTGATTATGTCGACGAGTTCAATGTCTGCTTTGATGAGTTTATTTTCCCGCATTAGGTTTCTTGCCTTAAGAGTTCTCTAGACTTTTCTGGATTTCTATGAAGCATTCTTTGCCTTTATTCATACAAAGTCAGTTTACTGTAGAGAAGAAAATATGCTCTCTAATTTAGTCTAATTTAAAGCAGTAATGCTTCATGCTTCAACACAAAGTCAAAAATTCCCAGTTGCTCTACGAATTGGAAAATATGAGAAATATGGAGTGTGGGGAGAAGAAGACAGTACAATTCAGTCCCTAAATTTTGATCTGATTCATTCTTAAAGCAGATTGTGAGATCCCAGACACACATTCTCCTATAGTCCTGCCATATTCAATACCATTACTAATAGGAGGTTGGTTTCTCAGAGTTGTAGTCAGCTCATTACTTTTCATAGACAACTAGTAATTGCTTTATTCTTATTACCTTCAGTTTGGATAGTTGTCCCAGATCTTTAGCTGCAATGAAAATCATCTGGGGTCCCTAGAGACACACACATAGAAAAGGAGAGAAGAGGACTCAGTCATAACTTCGGTAACTCTCAAAGTAGAAATGTAGTCAATAGACAATGTACTCTATTTTTCTTATTATATTTGTGACTTTAATGCCATAAGCCCTTAACTGGTCTAACTGGTCTATTTTACAACTTGGATCAAAGATATCTAGTACTGCTGGCAATACAACTATCTTCATAGGCATCCTACTTCTGGAAGTTTTAGTCTGAGTTACTGAATGGGTTACTGCTAGTGTATCCAGCTTAGTGTAGTGTATGTATGACCTCAGAGAGCTTTATCTTTTCTTTCTTTATTTGTAGCAGAGGCAACTACTTCCCTCCACTCCCCACCCCCCAAAATTAATCTATGCAAAATGTCAAGATCCACAGGTGAAGAAGGTGGAGCTAGTCCACCTGACATGCCATCCAATCTCTCAGAGCCCTGCCCTCGTAACTCCTCCCTCAGCCAGAGGTTTTCCCTAGTACCCCAAGGCCCTGGGGAGAGCTTGAAAAACATCAGAATAAACATCAGAAGCACTACTAGAATACTCAACAGTAGCCTAGAATGTTTTCACAATAAGGAAAACCAGCTATTCTGAAGTAGTAGTCTCCATGTTTTTATTGGAGCCTGTATATTCATTGAGAAATCCATACTTGGAGATCTTGATGTTCGAGAAAATTGAGGTGATGGTTAGCTTTCCTAGGGAAGATCTTATATCAAAAAATGAAATGTCATATACAGCATTTCTGCTATTATAACATAGATGTAGTCTTGAAAAAACTTATATTCTATAAAATTGTGCATTAGAAATAGTAGGGCTTTTGGGGAAAATAGGAGGGGGCAGTGCAAAGTCCATGCAATTTTGTTACCAAAGAACTATCAAAAACAATAACTGCTACTTTGGGAGACAGCATGAACAGCTCAAAGGGAGCTCAGTGAAGCTGGTGGCTACCTCGAGGGATATTAAAAATGTAAAAAAAACCCCAAACAACAGCACAATAGAGTATAACGTGGGCTGAGACTAATGCCTGCAGAAGTGGAGCTCTGAGCACAGGGTAGCCTGCCATGTGTGAGAAGCTAGGTGCATGTATCTGGATACAGACCAATGTGCAAGTATGCCCCCTTCCTCTTTTTTATCTTTTTAAAAACAGGATGAAAGGGCTCCTGCCTATGTAGCAGCCAAGCTGAGTGCTCTTTCCTTTTCTGCTGAAGTATACACTCTTCTGTTATATTCCCACGCCTCTCACCTAGAAAAATTTACTAATAAAGCAACCCAACCTGCACATTGCACTGACATCATTCCTCTATTGGCAAATTAAGTGACAGGTCACTGGTGTTACAGAAATGCATTACGTGTTATAGCAGAATAAGGGGTGTGTGCGAATGTGGGGTGTGTGTGTGTGTTTCTGTATGGGATTTGGCTACCCACACGTGTAGGCTATAATGATTATACCATACACTCATGGCATGAAGCAAAACTCAAAGTGATTTATATTTAACACTCACTGTCTGGCCGTAAATCAACACAAACATATGAATCTTTGCACCTTGGAACACTTTACAAGAAAACATTTTCTATATAATCTCACTGGATAAATATGGACTGAGTGTGCATGATTAATGGTGTCAATATATATTTTAGTTTAGTTTACAATTACTCATTATTTGCATCAACTTATCGTCCTCAGTCACAGACAAAAAAATTATTCCATAGCAGGTGCTTGTTAGGGTTATTTCTTTCCTCGCTTGGCTCAGGATACGCTGAGTTAGCTGGACAGGGTATCCACTTGACCACTGTCTGACTTTTGCTGCCAACTGATCTTTCTGGTTTTGATTTCACTGTGTATGATACAATCACATTCTTCAAATGCACTAAAAGATGTCTCCTGTATTAACCACGAAGTGCGAAGGTGATAGATAAAAGCAAAAGGGAAAAGTAAAAAAAATTCCAGATAGCAGTGTTGGCTTTATCTTCTTCAACTGTAAAATTGCAGAAAGAAACACAGCGGGCATATTCTATCAAAAATGTATTTCCCTGGGGTGGGGGTGGGTCATAATAAAATTAAATAAAAATTACATGTGTAGACCAGACAACTCTACAAGTTGAACTTTGATACATTTGTTTTTCAAGAGATAACGTTTGAAATGTCAAGCCAGTGTGAAGTATGACTGCTATTGCCACTATTTAAAATTGATTTGTGATGGGGGTGCGGGAGGATTGCATTGGGAGTTTGGGACTAGCAGATGCAAACTATTATATAGAGAATGGATAAACAACAAGATCCTGTTGTTTAACACTGGGAACTACATTCAGTATCTTGTAATAAGCCATAATGGAAAAGAAAAAAATTGATTTGTACAAGGTGATGTCATTGGAATGATCATTGCTAAGACACTGTATACCACACCCTTTTTCCCAAAATGAATTTAATTACTATTTCATCTGGATCAAAACCATTCATTGAAACAAAAAACAATTAGATGGGCTATTGAAAATATAATCAAATGTTAGTTCGAATACTTACTGTTTGATCTGTCAGAGGAGGGAGGACAATTTGTTTTTCTATTTTGTTGAGAACTAGCTTCCACAGTTCTTTCAATATTCGCTTCAGGACTGTTTTCTCACAGATTTTTGCTGAGAGACTTAATCTGAAATGAAATAAAACACACAATCACTTATAAGTCTCTTATTGAGGTATCATTTGATTGATCAGAAATTCACATTTTCAGCACTGATATTCAAATACCTGAATAGGTCTTTATAATTTTCAGATGCTAAATTTCATTTCATTTACGGAAAAAAAATACATAATATCAAAAATCTGTTTCATCATATTATACATCATTAGGTAATTCACTGTTTGGTAGAAAATGAATTCAGAGTATTTCCTTTCTTAAATTGCATCCTAAACTGACATCAAGGCTCCCAAAGTACACAATTTTTACCTGCATTCCAGACTTGTATTTACTACATGCTCCATGTTCATGGTACAGGCCAAACACCAAAGAAGCACATTTTCATCACTATCTGGCACTGGACCAACATAACAACATGGCAAACATGCATATGATTTCACTCAAGAGCAAAACTTTACCAACTTTATTTTCCAGGTTTATTGAGACACGATTGATATATAACATTGTGTACGTTTAGGGTGCACAAGATAATGATTTGATATATGTACATACTATGAAACAATCACCACCATAAATTTAGTTAACATTCATCACCTCACATAGTTATTTTGTTTTGGCTTGTGATAAAAAGTTTTACTCATAGCAATTTTCAAATATATAATTTAGTATAGTTTCCTATAGTTACTATACTACATTTAGTATAGTTTCCTATAGTTACTATACTACATATATCTCAGGACTTATTTATCTTATAACTGGAAGTTTGTACCCTTTGACTCCCTTTACCTATTTCCAGCCAGCACAAATTTGTTCTCTGAGTTCAGATTTTCTAGATTCCCAATTTACCAACTTTAATAGGTTTAAGGTATTTCTTACAAATTCTTCTCATGGTGAGATAGTGATGGTAACATCATCTAGCATTTATATAACACTTTAATTTAGAAACCTCTTCTGCAGATTTCTCATTTATTATATGAGTATCTAGTATATCCATTTTAGAAATCAAAACCCAGCTCAGAGACATTGGGGAACTTGTCTAAGGAAGTGAGGCTAGTAAGTGAGGGCCGAGAGCCAGTACATTGTCCAATGCCCCATGCTACCCTTGGTAAATGTACTTGTGTGTGAAGGCCCAGCAATACATGAAGGCACAGTGCTGCATAAAGATTTACGGAATGTACCATAATATGATGCTGAACTCTTCGAGACTCCTTTAATAAGAGTTAATCAAACCTGTTGCACAGAGGGCCAAAGGTGGGGGTCATATATTTGAAGGTAGCCTCATGGACTTTCTATAGTGCTACTAAGTACTCTGTACTTTTGGACTCAGAATTTATAAACTGGGTTCTGATAGAGACAGAATTGACTTTTAAATATTTAAATATATAATTAACATTTAAGGAATTAATATTTAAAGGCATGTGATGTGTGAGAGGCAAAGGGAGAGATTTCCCAAACACATTTTCATGTAGAAGTATTTCTCCTATCACTGCTGTGTATAGATACCTAATATATAAAAGTACACGCAAGTGACCTCCTCTGGTTTAAGAGGAGAGTTGGGGGTCCCTGAGGCATAGCTATGGAACTCTGTAGCCCCACTGGTTTGGAAACCATTGTTCAAAGGTGGTAGTTTTAGCTTCCTGGTAGATAGGTATTCACTATATGAACATAGGGTGGAAACCAGATGATGTGTCATGGAAGAACAGCAGAACCTACCCTCAGAGAAATTCCTAGGATGATTTAAGACACAACAAACCTGCCCATTTTACAGCAGATGTGTCATTTCCATTTCCAAAAGGTCTGAGTTTAAAAATTGATCTTGTTTTTATGGTCAGCTGATGTACTTGGCATGCTAACTAACCCTGTTTAAACTGGAGCTGAACCAATAGGAATAAAATTGTTGACATGTTTGCAGCTCTGCATGGGATTTCTGCTGGCTGGAAATGGCCCTTATAGCTTGTTTTATAGAGTGGTGAGGTCTTGATGGAGAAAATGGAGCATAAAGAAATATGATGTTTTATTTAAGGAGGCTGCACAAAGAGAGTCTATACATTTATAATATAACAATTTTTAAAGGGATTGTCTCAAAACCACCTTGAAGACTTACTTTGGCCCTTAATCATTCATTTTAAATAACAAAAAATAGAGGGGAAATCTAGCAACTGCTTCCTTAATTTAGTCAGCGTTAACCAGCTTGATAATGCAAGCTGAACACATAAATTTTGGAACCTGAGCTATCTATTTTGGCTGACCACAGAACCAATTAATCAGACAATTTTCAAATGCCATGTAGACTAGCTGCTAATATGATTTCCTGTCACACAGTTGAGCATATTCTCATGAAAACATATCCAGCTGCTTTTCCTACCCCCTGGAACGCCCATCCCCTATTTCCATACATCTAAACCCTAACTGCCTTTAAAGAAGACCCAACCCAAGTGGACTTTCTACTGACCATCTGAACAGGAGATTATTACTTTACACCTTATTGCATTTATTCTACTTTTCTTATTTTTTCTTTCTAAACTCTTAGCTCCTTGAGAACAGAATATCTAACTTTTTTAAAAAAGTCCTCTAACAAGTGGCTTTATGGCTGTACATTCTGTATTAGCCCAGAAAATTTCCACAACTCTCCATGCCTCGTATAATATCTCTTTCCAAAATTTTAAAATCTTTTACAATATTTTAAAGCTCATTGATGTTTTTCTATTTTTATATACTGTTTCTTTCTACTAAGAATTAGAGGAAATTACATACATGATGATATGATAAAGTATAATTAGAAAGAGAAAATAAGACTGAGGAAAATAAGAATCTAAATATCCTGAAAAGAAGAGCCAACCCACTTTATGTATTAGCTCTGTTTTATAGATGATGAAATGGATGTAAGGTCCCTCAACTAGTAGATAACTGTATTAGGATAACTTCAAACTTTTTGTATGTTCCACAACTTTGCTTATAGCATATGCAAAAATAAACAGTTTTGTCAGTGATCAATGATGTATCTCCAAACTGCTGCCTGGAATTCCAAAAACAGAAGGCATTCCAGTAGGAGTTTTAAGAAGATCAGGATTGCTTTGTCCTGCCCTCCGCTCACCATCACATTCACAACTAAATGGTAGTTTCTGTGATTCAATTAAGTCTTGTCCATAGAAAAGAGCCATATACGATGACACAAATTTCAAGGGGTTATATAGGAAATGAGGTGATAAAAGTGTCTATTAGGAAACTAAAGATATGAAGACGCCTTTCTCTCTTTCTTCCTCTTCTCTCTCTTTTCTTCCTCCCTTCTACTTTTTTCTTCTATGCCACTTGCCTACCTGCTTCCTGCTAAGCTACCTAATTACCTATTCACCTATCTTCTAGATATTTCCCCATAGCAGACAGAAAATAAGACTTAATTTTTCTACCAAATACTAAAACTAAAGTGATAAGAACATTAGTCTTACTTACGCAGTAAGGTTATAAGCAAAGGGAAATGGAATTAAGGTAGAAGTCATAAATATATAGAAGAGGTTCTCCTTACTAATTCCTTCTTTGTTATCCTTATCTTTAAGGAAAGGTACTGTATCCCTCTTATTTATCTTGGTCTCTTTGGCATTAATTAATTTTCCACAACAATATTAAATGAGGTAATATATGTAAACTAGTAGGTATAATACTGGTCCCATGGTAGGCATTCAAAGTTATTTTTTGCTTTTCTACCTTCAGTTCTGGTTTTAAGTATCACCATTTAAGAAATCATACCTCTTGCTGCTTTAGATCAATGGTTGCCAACTGTGAATACACTTTAAAATGTAGGTGCCTGGACCCTACTCCAAACTTACAAAATTAGAACTTCGAAGAGGAGGGATGGAACAGAAGCAAAATAAACCAACCTTTTGGTTCAGAACACTGTCTTAGTTGGTCATAAAGACCTTCATTCCCACCCACTCCCACCACTACTGGACTGGAATCTCCATGGAGTCAAGGACCTTGACTCTCCTCTCCATCATCACTGTCCAGTGCCTAGATTAGAGTTTGAAACAGGTGGACACTCAGTAAATAGTTATAGAAGGTGGGGTGAGGCAGCAATCTACTTGCCTCTGAGCTGAATTAACTGTAGTCACATTTGTGCTATTCTCTTCTTCAGCAGCTTTCTGACATGAAATCAGATATTCTGGAGTCAACTCAGTCTTTCTCCATGTCCAAGAAGTTGCAGAACAATATGTTATCTGAGAAGCAGGAAATCCTAAATCTCTCTATGCCTCAGAGCAGCAACCTCCTTAGTTTTCCATACTTATTTCCTCTCCATTTTTCCTTTTCTCTACATAGTCATTCCATCTAGTAATGAATTAAGAGTTTTTCTTTTTTAGTGAATTGATCTATTTCTGTAGAAGCCCTTTTAAAGCTGTCCTACATAGAGGAAAATATGTTTTTTTCTCTCAAATCCATATCAGGCAAATTGAGGGCAGCAAATAAAGAGGAAACTGGGTAGAACACTTACATTTTGTCCAAGAAGTCCATGAGAGGTCTTAATACAACCTCTGCATCCATGGCTGTACTGTTCTTATTAGATGCGGTATTTCCAGTTGCTCTCATTTGATTTAGTTCAAAACTCATCTGTTTTATGCACTCTTCAATGATAAGCTGGAAACTGAAAATAAAGAATATAAATTCTGGAATAAGAGCAAACATTTATGCCTTCCTTTGCCTGTGTCTGTTAAATTCACCCCAGGGAGTTTGATCTGTTTGCAATGGTGTGATAGCCCTTGCTCATTAGTTTTCAAACTTATTGTTTAGCTGCAAAAAATTTTGCTGCAATGAAAGCTTACTTAGAACGCTTATATGTAAAGTAGGTAAGACTGATGCTTTTCAGGTCGAATTAACTTGAGTGGGAGATCATTCGGCTCCCATCACTCACAGTAATAGCTGAGATGTCCCTCTGAGCATCTTTTGGAAAAACGACTGTGAGTGACTCTTGTCTGGGTACACCTTCTTCACTTAGCCTCTGGGACTCCACACCCTCTTTAGCTTTCCTCCAACCTCACTAGCTGCTCCTTCTCCATTGTCTGACCTCTAACTATTGTAATAAGGTTGCCAGACTTAGCATATTAAAACACAGAATGCCTAGGTAATTTTAATTTCAGATAGTGAATAATTTTAGTGTAAGTATGCCCCATGTGATACTTGGGACATATTTATACTAAAGATTGTCCATTTTTATATGAAGTTCAAATTTAATTGGGCACATGCTGTAGTTTATCTGGCAACCCTACATTGGCAATCCCACCTCTAGGCTCAATCCTTGGACCACACCATTTCTCCATCAAAAATCACTTCCGTGGGGCTCCCCTGGTGGCACAGTGGTTAAGAATCCGCCCGCCAATGCAGGGGACACGGGTTCGAGCCCTGGTCCGGGAAGATCCCACACGCTGTGGAGCAACTAAGCCCGTGCGCCACAACTACTGAGCCTACGCTCTAGAACCTGCAAGCCACAACTACTGAGTCTGTGTGCCACACCTACAGAAGCCCACAGGCCTAGAGCCTGTGCTCCGCAACATGAGAAGCCACCACAATGAGAAGCCTGCACACCGCAATGAAGAGTAGCCCCCGCTCGCTGAAACTAGAGAAAGCCCGTGTGCAGCAACGAAGACCCATGCAGCCAAACATACATAAATAATAAAATAAAATAATTTAAAAAAATCACTTCCTTGGCAATCATATCTAGTCTCATGATTTTCTTACCGTCTGTATACTGGTGATTGCTAAATATACATCTATAGATATGACTTCTACTCTAAAATACAAACCATTATTAAACCGCCTATGTGGCCTTTTTACTTAGATAGAAGTCTAATGAATTCTTCTCATCCAATCTAATGAAATTTTCAACCTCTAATCTGTCAGCAAATCTTTATGAAGTATATTAAATCTGAGGATCTATTATTACTTCCACAAAGCTACTGCAGACCAAGCCACCATTATCTTTCACCTGAACTTGTGTAATAATTTCCTACATTATCTCTCTGTTCAACCCTCTACAGGTATCTTTTAAAATAGAAACCAGATCATGTTCCTCTCTTGCTAAAAACCTTCAATGGCTTCCAGATCCACTGGGGGGAAAAAAAAAAAAGCCTAGAATGTATTTCATGGAGTTAATTAAATCCAACATATTCTGGCCCTGGAAACTTCCCTGATGTCATTTCTTGCCACTATTCCCTCTGCTTCATTGCAGTCCCACCACAGTAGTCTCCCTGGTGTCCTTAGAATTCTCTGAGCACACTCTTATCTCATGGCCACTGTTATGTTCCCTCCTCCATGCAATTTCTCATGGGTCTGTTAGTTCCTCACTTATTACAGGCATAAGCCAAATGTCACCTCCTCGGAAAAGTCTTTCATAAATACTCCACCTGAAATGAAATTCCTATCATTCTCCATTTCCTTACAGTTCTTTATTGCATTCTCCATTATCTGACACATTACATAGTTTTTATCTATTTGTTTGTCGTGTATTGCTCCAAATAGAATATAAGCTCTATGAGGGCAGGACTGTTTTTTTTAGGTGTTATATACCCACACCATGAGTTCCTCAAGAAATATTGGCTGAATGTATCAATGGACCATCCTCCTTCCACCCACCCCTATTAAACGTGTTGAACAGATAAATGACCTGTTTAACAACACCCCATGACCTCCCCCACTTAAACCCTATGCTCTACATGCCTATAATGCCCCACCAACTCCCCAAAACAAGACAGGAATATATAAATACATAGAATTTAATTAAATCTATCTGACAGCGTGAACATTTCAGTGCTCAAAGTAAGATAGACCTAGAAAATAAACCCTAATCGTACCAATGAATTACTTAGACATATACCACTTGTATAGACAGACATCTCCCTAGATCTATCAGCCATTTCATTAAAATTTTAATACTAAATCTAACATAAATTATACAGGATACCTATATACATGTTACATCATTATATAAACACAACTTGTTAATGTAGCTTAAATTCTAAAGCAAGGCACTGAAAATGCCTAGATGAGTTTACTAACTCCATAGGTTTGTTCCCAGCCTTTCTATTAGTTTTTAATAAAATTACACATGCAAGCATCCGCACCCCAGTGAGAATGCTCTCTAAATCATTACTGTTAAATGGAGCAGGTATCAAGCACACTAATGGTAGTAGCTCATAACACCTTAACCACACCCCTATGGGAAACAGCTTTGATAAAAATTCAGCCTTAAATGAAAGTTCGACTAAGTTACATTATCTAGGGCTGGTAAACTTCGTGCCAGCCATCTTGCTCCTATGATTAACCCAAATAAATAGAAAACCGGCGTAAAGCCTGTTAAAGAGTAATAAAAAATAAAGTTAAATTCTAACTAAACCCTAAAAAGCCATAGCTAAAATAAACTATGAAAGTGACCTTAGTATTTCCTGATTACACGACAGCTAAGACCCAAACGGGGATTAAGATACCTCACTATGCTTAGCCTTAAACCCTAATTATAATAACAAAGTTATTCACCAGAGTACTACTGGCAGCAGCTTAAAACTCAAAGGACTTGGCAATGTTTCACACCCCTCTAGAGGAGCCTGTTCTATAATCAGTAAACCCCCATAAACCTCACCAAGCTCTGCTAATTCAGTCTATATACCGCCATCTTCAGCAAACCCTAAAAAGGGTAAAAGTAAGCATAAATACTATACATAAAAGTTAGGTCAAGGTGTAACCTATGGGATAGGAAGAAATGGGCTGCATTTTCTGTTTCGAGAATGTACTTCTCACACACGAAAGTTTTTATGGAAACTAAAAACCAAAGGAGGAGTTAGTAGTAAATTAAGAATAGAGTGCTTAGTTGAACAAGGCCATGAAGGACGCACACACCACCCATCACCATCCTCAAGTATTATAACAACTTCCTATAACCTATTAACAAACACCAAGTATATGAGAGGAGACAAGTGTCAGGGTAAGCATACTGGAAAGTGTGCTTGGATCAATCAAAGCATAGCTTAAATAAAAGCACCTCGTTTACACCTAGGGGATTTCATAATCTATGAATACTTCGAACAATTCTAGCCGAAACCTCCACAAATTTTACTAACACAAGCAAATTAAATCAATCGTTCACTCAGCATTTAAAGTACAGGAGATAGAAATTTAAAACAACCTTTGGCCTATAGAGAAAGCACTGTAAGGGAATGATGAAAGAAGCATTACAAGTAATAAAAAGGAAAGTTTACCCCTTTTACCTTTTGCATAATGATTTAACTAGTAAACATTTAACAAAGAGAACTTAGCTAAATACCCCGGAACCAGATGAGCTACTTATGAACAGTTTGTAGAACAAACTCATCTATGTAGCAAAATAGTGAGAAGGTTTATAAGCAGAGGTGACGAGCCTAATGAGCCTGGTGACAGCTGGTTGTCCAAGAAAAAAAATCTTAGTTTAACTTTAAAATTACAAAAAAATTAGAAATTTTTATGTATTTTTAAATGTTACTCTAAAAAGGTATAGCTTTTTAGAAATGGATACAACCTTATCTAGAGAGTAAATAAACAAGACCATAGTTGGCTTAAAAACTCCACCAATTAGGAAAGTATTCAAGCTCAACAATAACTTTATCTTAATATCAACAATAAGCAAATCAACCCCTAGTTTTACACTGGACTAATCTATTAACCAATAGAAGCAATAATGTTAATATGAGTAATAAATATTTCTCCTTGCGTAAGCTTACATCAGTAACTGATATTATACTGATAGTTAATAGCAAATAAACACAATCCAACATTAAATTATTAAGTACACTGTTAACCCAACACAGGCAAGCACCCAAGGAAAGATCAGAAAAAAGATTAAGACTGTGAAGAGTAAGCCTTAGAATTACTGTTTTCATTCTTCACATCCTCTACACCAGGTTTGGTGGTTCCTACCGAGGGAGCAGCAAATAGTAAGAGATTTAAATAGTGGAGACCTTCAGCATATCCACCATTCCTCTATGTTGTCTGTTACTTTCATACCTCCAACAATAGGAGTAATTATAATATACATTCAGGCAGGCAAGAAAAAAGCCAGTTAGGATAATGGGGGTAAATAAAAATTTGGGAAATGATCACATCATGGGAATGGTGATGAGAAGGAGGGAGTTGATTTTAGTATTGAAATCAAGTCAGTCCCATTCCTCTTTCTCCACACACAATGATTACACAGTTCATGTTATTTAAGAAGGATCCAAATGCATCAATTCCTCACATTTTATATAGAAGTTTAGGAAGTTTCACTATATAATGCTGTCATTATTCATTAAACAGAAATAATATAAATATTTATTAATGTATGTATGCATTCTACAAATGTTTAACTAATACTGTGTGCCAGTCTCAGTTACTAGGATACATCAATGAACAAAACAGATAAAATTGCTTATTCTTTTTTTTTTTTTTGGCGGTACGCGGGCCTCTCACTGCTGTGGCCTCTCCCATTGCGGAGCACAGGCTCCAGACGCGCAGGCTCAGCGGCCATGGCTCACGGCCCAGCCGCTCCGCGGCATGTGGGATCTTCCCAGACCGGGGCACGATCCCGTGTCCCCTGCATCAGCAGGCGGACTCTCAACCACTGCGCCACCAGGGAAACCCATAATTCCTTATTCTTATGGCACATATTTGACCCTTTATTTTTGAATTTACATTATAAAAATATTATAGTCTGTTAAATATTTCATTTTTCTAGTTTTTGGTTTTGCTACCTAATATGGGAAATCTTTGATGTATTTTATTTTATTATTTATTTATTTATTTATTAACATCTTTATTGGAGCATAATTGCTTTACAATGGTGTGTTAGTTTCTGCTTTATAACAAAGTGAATCAGTTATACATATACATATGTTCCCATATCTCTTCCCTCTTGCGTCTCCCTCCCTCCCACCCTCCCTATCCCACCCCTCCAGGCGGTCACAAAGCACGGAGCTGATCTCCCTGTGCTATGCGGCTGCTTCCCACTAGCTATCTACCTTACGTTTGGTAGTGTATGTATGTCCATGCCTCTCTCGCGCTTTGTCACAGCTTACCCTTCCCCCTCCCTATATCCTCAAGTCTGATATATTTTAAATTATCACAAATTGGGTGTTTTTCTCGCTCCTGATACAGCAGGTTTATAAATATTGGTCCGTATTTCTGAGTATGTAGTCAAGGCCTGATTCTACTTCCACCATTGTGTTTTGGCTGTTTCTATCTTTGGCCCCTGACTTCTCTGTGACTTTCTTTACTAGTGATACCACCATTTTTGTCCCTCTGCATTTGGCTCTTTGATCCTTGGATCTCAGTTTGCCTCTGTGGATGTGGTTCATTTCTTGGCTCTCTGTGTATTTATCTCATTCAATGGAATATGCTGTTTCAGGTTTAGGTTCAAAGGAAGCTGAATGCCTAACCACTTGGCTTTTATCTGGCTGGACCTGCCTTTGGACTTTTGTCAGGTAGTGGTTGGGGGGAAGGGTGGCATTGGGGGTAGTGAAGAACACCCAGGCTTCAGATGTGAGAAGGGGGTGATGGTGGTGGGTGTATTTAGTGAAGGGTAGTGGTGGTAGATACTTGGGGCAAGAGAAAGGAAAGGTAAATAATGTTGGAAAACTTGACCTAGTTGATTTACTACTGGGCATCAGTGATCCTGCTGACTGCAGTAATGATCACCTTTAAAATAGCTACTTTCTTTTGAACTTATTCTCAAATCAATTTACTGGGCTGGAGGATAGACTGAGCAGAAGGTATGATACTCATGATCCAAAAATGTACAAACAGGTTCTTAAAACAGACCCATATGGTAAACACCCACCAGAAGCCAGCTCTGTGTGGGGAGATGAGGCATATGGAGGAAGGATTACCAGAGAATGAAAGAGAATGACCTTCTACCTTAGCATGAATCCAGGGTGAGTCAACACCTGCATTTGACCCGAAAATCTTTTGTCTCTATCAATTTTTGGTAAATTCACCTAAAGAGTCTTTTTTTTCTATCCATTTTATAGTTGAAAAGTTTTTATTAATCAGCAGTACCAGGTAATAATGACAGAGTCTGTGAGCACTCAAGATGCCAGACACACAGAAGAAATCCTATGAAATATTCCTAAATTTTTAATCTACTTAATCCAGCCAGCCACTGGCATCAAAGATATCATTAAAAGAAATGTAATAAATCAAAAAAACAAGCTGCAAAATGCGTGTAAGCAGAAACCTAAGTGGCACAGGTTTTGAAAACGTTAAGAACATCCTTAAGATATCATTGAAGTCCTGTTGCTGAGTCTCAGTTCCCAGGTGGGTACCCTTTGCGTGTTATCAGGAACCTGGGGACCCGGGCTTCAGATGTTTGCTTTGGCTCTGTCCTGGCTTTCCTGAAAAATCACCCTACCAGCTACATAGGGTAGAATAATTTAATTGTGGGTTTTAATAACGGTAGATGAAATGGATTTGGGGCAATTAATTATGCACTTAACTTTAAAACTCTAGACCACTAATTTAGACTGTAAGAAGGGTGGATTCAGTTTGACTTCACAGCATAAAGTCCAGCATGAAATTATCCAGTTTGACTTCACAGCATGATCACACTGATCCTTATGGACTTCCCACCTACCCTGAGTGTGTGATGCAGACCTGGCTGGCAGTATGGGAAATAAATCTATGGCAACAAAGATATAATAATTATTCTTTTTATAAGGAAAGCATGACATGTGGGCTGTTTACTTCAATAATCCTAGCTCTCTTAGAGCTATATTTAAAAAACAATGAAGAAATACAAACAGGGTAACGAGGAGTTTCAATATCTAGGTTAAAATAGCTAACTTCATATGACTAAAGTACTTCAAGTGCCCTCCTAAAGGCATCTCTCCTTATTTCATAACTGAAGTTTGCTAAGTTTTTCCAATCATAATATATATTTCAGCCTTTGTAACCTGAATATTCCCCAATCTTAAACAAAACAGAATAAAAAGTACTTGTTCAGGGGATGATTTGGATACATTACAGAAAATAATTTGAATATCCTTTTTTTATTTAATTATAGTTTCTATTCTGTTTAGTCATCTTATTTCCCGTAAGGTTCTGAACACCTCTAGCTATTCCTGACCCCTTTTATCTCCCTTAACTTTGCTAAATAATCTCTATTTTTGCCTTTGTAGCTGAAGGCAACAGTGCTTCTGCTAATCACATATCAACTTACAACTAGAATAAAGAGAGGTAAGCCTCTAAGTGTCACCCCAAGTCAGAGCCAACGAGCCCCCAAATCTCTGGGACAATGTCTGCCTCTCCAACTCCTTGTAAGCAGAAACTTCAAATTACTTATTAACATTTAGGCCAAGTATGCAGGATCATCCAGGTCAGCTAACAACACAAAGCAGAAGGCAGAGCTACGACCCTAAAAGCTCAATACATCAAGACTGCATCTGGCCCAGCACTTAAACTTTGAGAGGGGGTTCCATGAAAATAATGAACACACCTCTGATACTGAAGAGAAGTCCAAGCATAGGATTTTTCTTTACTTTGCCTCATTTCTACATTTGAGAAAAAATATGATACCTTCAGTGTCTTTTTTGTTTTAGTCTTTTGGATTTAAGAGTGGCAAAACTAATCAATGAATGTGTGTTAAGCATGTATCTTTCCAAAACACACTAATAAGTGATGACTGAGATTCAAAGAGATAACTAGCCCTCTCCATAAGAGTAAATTTCAGTCTTATTTGAGAACTGAAGACATAGCTTCAAATAATAAGTCAACATTTATTGAACTAATATTTAAAGCAAATTCTGTATGAAATTAATGAACCTCATCAAAAATGTGTTTGATTTACCATTGCATTAAAAACAAAACAAAAAAACCCCCCACATAGGAATAAACCTACATAAGGAGGCAAAAGACCTGTACTACAAAAACTATAAGATGCTGAAAGAAATCAAAGACCACACAAACAGGTGGAAAGATACTGTGTTCTTGGATTGGAAGGATCAATACTGTTAAAATGACCATACTATCCAAGGCAATCTTCAGATTCAATGCAAACCCTATCAAATTATCAGTGGCATTTTTCACAGAACTGAAACAAAAAATTTTTTAATTTTTATGGAAACACAAAAGACCCTGAATAGCCAAAGAGCAGAGCTGGAGGAAACATGCTCCCTGACTTCAGACTATGCTACAGACTATACTACAAAGCTACAGTAATCAATACAGTATGGTACTGGCATGAAAACAGACACATAAATCAATGGAAAAGGACAGAAAGCCCAGAAATAAACCCATGCACTTATGGTCAATTAGTTTATGACAAAGGAGGCAAGAGTACACAATGGAGAAAAGAGAGTCTCTTCAATAAGTGGTGCTGGGAAAACTGGACAGCTACATGTAAAAGAATGAAATTAGAACATTCTCTAACACCATATACAAAAATAAACTCAAAGTGGATTAAAGACCTAAATATACGACTGGATACTATAAAACTCTTAGAGGAAAACGTAGGCAGAACACTCTTTGACATAAATCACAGCAATATTTTTTGGATCTGTCTCCTGAAGTAAAGGAAATAAAAGCAAAAATAAACAAATGGGACCTCATTAAACTTAAAAACTTTTGCACAGCAGAGGAAACCATCAACAAAATGAAAAGACAACCTACTGAATGGGAGAAAATATTTGCAAATGATATGACCGATAAGGGATAAATTCTAATCTATTTTAACATTTGCTGAAGAGATGACGGCTTTTTCCTATAGATCCAAAATGAAGTTTATCTAGGATGAACTTCTCATTCTTTAGAAACACACCATAGGCAAGCAAAGTTAATAAAAAAAAAAGACAAAACATAGATATGTCAGTAGTTTCCCATGAGCTAACTGCATTAACATTTCTAAAGCCTAAAACAAATCATCCTGACTTAATTCAGTTATGGGGTTAAGAGTTCAGTTCTTTCGAAGTGAAACCACACTGATGTGTATGGCATGAACACAACTCATACTTGTTATATGTGAGGATTTTATCTCTGCCTTCCCTCCTCCCTCTATTCTTTCAACAGCCAATTGCTAAGCTCTAAACACTAGAATTGCAAATAAGAATGAGATGTTAAGAAACATACAATAAAGAGAGGGAAAGAGAAAGTTAACCAGAACTTAGTGTTGTAAGTGCTACTCAACTGCAGGATACTGGGGAGCAGGAGTTCTGGGGAGCAAGCAGCAAGACATCACTATAAAATCGCAGGGTCATGGAAGATTTTCCAGAGGAGGTGATGCTTAGATTGAGTCTTGAAGTTAAACGGACTTAGACAGTCAGAGGAGAGAGACAGTGTTGAAGGCATGATTATCATTAAATGAAACCTAATACATTTGGATAGTAATTACTTAGGCCACTTACCTTTCACCATAAGTGACACTGAGCTCATCCAGAACCCCACTGAGTTTAACCTGAAGTTCTTTTAGAATAGTACTAGCTTCAGGATCTAGCTGCAAAGAGACCATAAACAATATTACTCTGGAGTTCTGAGAGAGCACGCCTTTTATCTCTTAGAACATTTTGCTTATTACAAGGTAAACTTCAAACAATATAGCATACATATACTGTTTTCTTTCCTTTCCTTTTTTTAACCTTTGAAATCAAATGCAAAATTTAGATAATTCTAATGAAACCAGAAGAGTTCTTACATTTGAAAAAATTGATTGAAATAGCATGCATACAAAAAAGAGCTAGAGAGCAAAGCCTTTGTTGGTTACAGCAGTGGGATGCAAGGTATGACAAAATATCCTACACAACTTGATAACTTCACAACTTAGAAAACTGGTTATACATTAGTTGAACATATGTGTTGCTTGAAATATATTTTCATTTTTAATATCCCTGTAAATAAATAGGCCCATTGAAAACTTTAAAAATGGCTAAAAATTAATTTTTGCATGTTGTGTTGTGCCTTATTTTTCCAAGTATGGAATTAAAAGTAATAAACAATTATCCTGTTGCTCCAGTGTGTTTCTCTGGAGGTGACAGGGCTAACTTTTCTTCCTGGATGCCAATTGGTAACTCAGAGTTCAAGATTCAAAGTTTCCTATTTTATTTATTTATTTAAAAATTTTTCTTTTGCGGGGAGGGGGCAAAAGAAAAATAATTAAATCAAGAGGACATTTTATGCTTACTCTTACAATGTAAAAGCCAATTATTCTTTTTAACTGATTTCAGTGCTAAAATAATATCAATCAATATTAGAAAATAACATAATATAAATGAACACAAATAAAACATCAAACTATTAATGTGGGAGTATTTTTTTAAAATTAAAGGATGAACACAAACTTTGCCAGCATTTAGAAAATTTTATCCTGTTTGTTAATTTAATTTTTGCAAACTAGTTGTCAATAGAATAACTTATAATAGATGTAGTGTATCTAGCTGATAGAAATTCATGTAAAGGGAAACCTAGAATATTCTCTGAAATTTAAGCCAATCTTCCTTTGAGTCTTCAGAAATTCAATTTCCTACCATTAGTACCTATAGTCCTTGCCCAAGTTGAACTATTGTTGAAGAGAGGGGCATAGGATGAAGACAACTTTGGGGAGTAGAGAAAGTTAAAGGAGGACTTGGTATAAACAAGAGAACCTAAGAACACCAAATACATATATGACCCAAATCAGTTTAAACTCCTGGGAGGCAACCCAGGACCAAAAAGTGTCCCTAATAGAATACACTGGTCATAAATCTTATAACCCTCTAGGAACATTTTCTAATACTAAGAAACTATTAGGAAGAAGTATTATTTACACACCTCAGCATCTGGGTAGCTCTATGTTATGCTAACTTGATTAAAAACATTGGAGTAGAAACCAAAGATTGCATTTGACATCTGATACTTTACTGGTTATGTCAAACCAATCCTTAATGTCAATTTTCACTCAAATCTAGGTGATTTCAGGATTGGTTAGTTTCTGCTCCTTTATCAGAGCCAATGTGATTCTTCTGGACTAATTTTTTTCTGTCTCTGTCATAAGAGATTACCTGCACATGCACAGGCCACCTTAACAGATGCAGACTTCTCTAGCAGTTGGAAACTTACAATATCCCTAAGTCTCATACTTTGAGAGTTCCATTCACCTATAACCAGTTGCAAGGCAGTGATTCAGAAAAACAATTAGATATTACCTGTTTTTAAACAGCCCTGACACTGATGTGCATTTAAACATAATTAGCCTAATAAACCATATCTCCCCAACCCTTAACCAAGAAAACATATGTAAACTGCCCACCCCAATCCTAGGGAACCTTGTAAGCTGAATGTTTTTTTATCACATGTTCTTGCTATTATCCTAATACCAATTTTAGACCAACTTCACTTGGATAAAAATGTTTGGGAACAGAAAATGAGAGAAGACCTCCCATAGAATTTTCTTCATGCCCCACTCCGTGCTAAACCGTGATAGGTGGTGGTTCCCCACCCACATATCTGCCACCTCCAAGGAATGGCTCTGACAGTAGGGTTTTCTTCAGGAAATTGGGTTGCTTCTTATTTAAAGTATGTATTTTGTTTCCATATTAGTTTGATATGCAGATTGAGTTAGTTTGTTCACCTGTTAAGACAATGACTTTAAAGTCATCCAGAAACGGTTAGGTAGGTCAGTTGGACGAAATTATGCTCTTTTCTTGTGAATCATTTTAGTCTACCTTACGTATTTTGTGAATGCAAATTTTCTATCAAATAATTGGTTATTACTTGAAAATCTGAAACTGTCAAAATACAGCAATTTAAATATTGGATGACAGTTTTCATTTCCTGAGAGAAGCATGAGTTTCTAAGCAGGTACAGGCAGAATGCCTTGTCATATAAACAGGAAAAAAAAAAAAAAAAAACCAGAAAAGCTCTTGTTTCAGTTAGGTATTTGACATTTATCTGATCCAAATCATAGGATTAAACCATTAAAATAGGAAGAGTAATTTTGAGGCCAATATGCAAACTGCAGGTCTTTTGTAATAATGGGCATAAATAGCATACCCATCTAATTATAAAACAATCTCTTTGGCCGGCAAATTTACCAATTCTTGGGTTCTTCTGCATTTCTTTATGTGTCCAAATTGAGAAAAATTTCCTTACTCCTACAAACTCCCTAAAGTTTGTAAGAAGTAATAATTTGGCATTGAGAATTTATTGCCTAAATTACCAATAGCGTATTTTACAAATTATTGGCTACCTTGGAAAGGTAAAAAGCTACCTAATTTTTTTCACAAATGTTTAAAACTTAGCTTAGTTCTGTAAGGAATATGACATCAAACATCAAAAGTAACTTGCGCCTTTTTTTGTATTTTAGAGTTATTAAAAGCAAAAAGAGAAACAAAGAGAAATAAGAAAAAAGATAATATTTCAAGCATTCAAAAGTCAAGGTTAATAAATTTATTTTAAATTAGAAACTGTATTAGAAAGTGTACCTGAACAACTTGGCTGGCAAAGTTATTTACACCACTGAGATACTTTACACTATTGAGCTGTGGTAATATGAATGACTTCTGGAAGAGATAGCTAGAAGGCAAAATATCTTTGCAGTTTTTTGTCCTCAAGGCTCACTTCTACTTTTCCTTTAAAAGACAATTTACTTATCACCTCCTTTTACAAATCTGACCCCAGGTGTCACTCACCCCAGGCAGTCAGTGGCTCTAGTTTCTGTACTAACTCTGCTGTGCACTCTTACTGCCTATACAGCCCTCTCTTTTAACTGTTCTCCTATGAATCTATCTCTCCCACTAAACTCTGTCTTACTTAACTTTCTCTCCTGAGTGTCTGTCCCTGCAAGCCTAGGCATTTATCAAATATTTGAGGAAGGAGGTGAGGGCAGGAAGAAGCATGAAATGATTCCCTCAAAGGGAATCTTGATATCCAGAGTGCCCCTTCTCCTTAGACTGATACTTTGCGTTGACTATTAGTAGAATACTTTTGCATTTGAAATCTTTCATTCCTTAGCCACCACATATTCTGGAACTACCAAGTTAGTCCTAATTTCAAGTTTTTGTGTCATTGCCAGACCATGTCAGATTATGCCCTGATATTTGTTCGGTTCTAAAAATATGGTTACCATACCCCCACTGTATTTTTGCTTCCTAGCATAAATTCTTTCCCTAATGGACCTATAGAGAGTATATGTTTTGCACCTTCACCCATGTATCCTGGTGCTTCTCATTTGTAGGATGCTAAATAGCAAGTTTATTTTTCAAAAGACTGAGACTTGAGAATAATAAAAAAGACATCAGGGGAAAAATGTATAAATGTCTCTTGGGTTAAAAGAAACATCATGTGTGAAGAGGTCCCATGTTAAAAGAAGCATTTTCAGCCTTATCAATTTAGAAATGAATGGGATCTTGGCTTTGAAATCGAACCTAGCTTTACATATGTCTTGCGTACTTATCACAATAATTAGGAACAGTGTAAATAAAACCTTAAACAGAAATATCCCTTCATCCTAGCCACCCTTGGGATTGTTTTACGGAGCGGGTGGCGGTGGGAGAATGACAGCTGCATGACCTTCCCTTGCAGCACTGTCTCCAGTCCTCAATTCCCAGATGCTTATGTCGGTTTGTGAAATACTGCAGCAGCTCAAGGCAGTTGCCCCGTTAGTATTTCACAGTCTGCCTGATCCAAACAAGCAAATGAGAACAAGTAGGAAGTGCAACCGTCTTTGAGTTTGGAGGGGAAACAGTCATAAGACGCGTACTATCACAAACTTCATAAAAGAATCTTTCTCCTTCCTTCTTCTGCTCATGGAATTGCAGGTCAGAGATGTTAGACAAAGACACAACACGTTACAGACACTACACAACACAGTTGTGACAGATTTTTGAGATGTGAAAAATAAACCAGCGATACACCAAGAACCAGTAGTGCCACAAAGCACACTGCAGAAGAGAACCGATAATCAAGTTGACATTGTGCAGTATGGTAAAAGACATCTGCAGCTGTGAAACTTTACATATCGTCAGCATATACAAAAGTATATTTAATAGTGTATATATGACTATATATACACATTACAAAAGGCTATTGACCATCTCCCTCCTCCTATTCACACTTCCGATGTATTTACTGAAGTATTCTGTTGCGGAGTAATGATCACCTTAGCTGTTAATGGTATTTTAGATTGTTAGCATTTCCTGTTCTTTAGCTAAGCCATGTAAAAACTTGATTATGTCACTCTCCGTAGCAAAGAGATACGCTGCTAATGACCTCTGAGATATTTGGCAAATGCAGGCATAAAAACATACCCACCTCTTTTCCTCCCATGGATTCAAACATTTTTTCCAGCTGAACCCGCAATTGTTGAATATTGTTCATCAATATACAGGGCTTTAAATAAAGCAAACAAAACAAAAAATACATTAAGTTACTGAATGAGTTTACCTTCAATGTGATAGTATACAACTATCACCCAAGTTCAATTCTATTTGGCAAATAGAATAATTATGCTATTTAAGATTATACTTTTTAACAGTTAAGAATAGAAGAGAGAAAATATGACCACTTTGGGGAATGAAATTTAATAATATACTTAGACAATAAACCATTGGAGACCTATTACTAGAAGTTATTTTATTCTTAGCATTGTGGCATTTTGTACTTCAAAATTAACCAAATTCAGTTTACTTTTTTAAAGATTTACTTTAAGAAAAACAAACTAGTTTAAACTATTCTATTATTTCACTGTTTCAAAAGCTAAAACACCATATGAATTTCAGAAATGCAAAAAAAAAAAAAAAAAAAAACCCCAAAAACCTTTACTAAGTCTGGCTATCGATAAAGGCCACCCCTTGGTATTCAAGGCCCTTAGTTATACAGCTCCAAACCATGCTTGTCTTCTCCTCTCCCTCTACTGTATTATGATGAACTCTCAACTACAAGAGGCTTGCTTCCCACCTCCCCAACACCTGTGCTTTCCAGACTCCGTGGCTCGGCTTAGCATGTAGGCCCTTCACTTGAACTTCTTCAGCTATTTCAGTCTTGTCCATCATTCAGGTTAGGGCCTTTGTTTTCCCAGATTGTATCTTTTTTGTCACTCACTTGACATTTGTTTTATTTAACTTCACGTTTGAGTTGCTTTTGACTGTCTTGCCAGCTGACCTTAAATGCGCTGTATGTGCCTCTGTGTCTTTTTCTGCTTTTTCTTACAGAGTACTGCACGGAGCCTCACACATAATACATGCTTTAAAAATGTTCCTTGACTTGTTTCCAAGGAGGCAGAAATATAACAATCACATTAAGATGTAAAGCTTTCTGACAGGACTAGATGTGTCCTCAGAATAGTAGAAATTAATTTATAATGGAATTCAGAATAGTTATGGAATAATTTAATATTTGCTACATACTGATTCTGAAGAGCCAGCATATCAATGGAAGAAAAGAGTGAAAGAAAGGAAAATGGATATGCCTTCCAAGGTGCTGGGAAATGAGCCAATAATGAGTCAGAGAGAGGCCTGCAAAGGACTTCCAGGACATCAGAGAGGTGTTAGTGCTCATCAGTGGAAAGATTTTATTATTGTTTTAACCATATTACTGACCTTTGAAAAACTTTCTATTTGACTCTTAAAGTGACCACATCCTAACTTCAGTTTACGAAAACAATTTAGAACTGCTACTCTTAATTCCCGGCACTTAAATATTTTCTTTTTTTTAACACAGAGATTTATCTCCTATAGATTTTGTTCAGTAAGCTGAACCACAGTGTTCTACAAATGATTCAGATTGCCAGCTATGATGGAGAGTCACTGGATCCAGGCCTGATCCTTTCCGTGGCATGTATGATCAGATTTTCAGGGTTTCCGCATCTTGACCCAATGTCAACAAACTGAACCAACAGAGCTTTTTCCATTAGGGTATAGGGCCGTTGGGGTTTCTTCTTTTTCATTGCAGAGGGGAAAGAACGAAGGAAGAGCATGACTCAAGGAGAAGCAGGAAGACTACATGGGTAAAGGTGTAATCACCCTGCTTTTCATGGGTCTAAGTTAGCTGGGTAGTCTCTTTTATGATTGTTTGATATTAGCATTCAAGCTTATCTCTTTTGACACATGTAATAGTACTTTAGTTCCAGCTTTACAAATTAAACCAACCTCCAAACCTTCTTAATATAATAATTTCCAATGGAAAAGAGCTACTAAGAAGCCAAATGAACAAAGACACTTGGGCTCACTTGGCATAGATTGCCACTGACCTGGGTAAGGCTACATATAAAAAAAGAGATGCAGTTATCCAGACGGAGATAAAAATAAACATGAGACTTTCCTCTTTGATTAAGCTTCCCCTGACCTTGACATGTTCAAATTTCAATTTTATTGAATCAATTTATCAAAACACTACTGAGAATTGAATTACACAACTCTACCTTAAACCTAATCGGGGAACAACGTTTACTTTAAAGACTTCAGTGGTAAATGAAAAACAAGCAAAGACAGCTAAAAATACCCATAGTAAAGGGAACATTAACCGAATTTAGAAGCATCATTTGTTGGTGAGTTTAGTTAGATAAAAATAACCTATGTTTGAAGTTAATTTTTAATCTTTGTATATTTTGGCTTTTCCCCTAAAAATGTCATAATGTATTTCATTTGCTCTAAACCTGGAACAAAGTTAGGAACCTAAAGTGCAATGAATATAAAAGTTAGATTTGTTCAGACTATGGCCATTTCTACATGACCCAAATATATTTTTTTTTACCAAGGTATAGTTGATGGACAATATAAGTTACAGGTGTACAGTATAGTGATTCCCAATTTTAAAAGGTTACACTCTATTATAGTTATTATAAAATATTGGCTACATTCCCCATGTTCTACAATATATCCTGTAGCTTATTTTATACATAGTAGTTTGTAACTCTTAATTCCCTACCCCTATATTGCCCCTTCTCCCTTCCCTCTCCCCACTCATAACCACTAGTTTGTTTTCTATATCTGTGAGTCAGCTTCATTTTGGTTATATTCACTAGTTTGTTGTATTTTTTTAGATTCCACCAAATTATGTTTTTGAGTTGAAAAAGATTTAAAAAATAAATCAAGCATTTCTGATTTAGATAATGTTGCTTTGCTATAATGTGGAGTGTGGAAGAATGGATTGAAAACTTGTGACCCATTCCAAATTTAAAATGTCACAGAAGAAAAAAAATTCTGTCACAGATATTCTGTTTAACTGTCGTCTATAATTCTGACCCCTGGGAAAGCAAGTGTTATGGTCATCTCTCAGAAGATGTCTCTCTTTAAAAGTTTCTAGTGCACTTTGCAGATGAAATAGGAATATTGTCATATATATACAGAGAAAATAAAAAATAATAATGTTTCAATGTTCTTGATATTTAAAGAAATCTGTAACAGCAGTGATATGTACACACACAAATGTATAAAAGCACTTCAATTTATCTCAGCTGAAAGCTTAAACTAAGCAGCTAACTGATATCCTTTCATGGAAAAGCTAAAATGATACTTGGCATTTGAATGAGAGTCTAAGACTGGTCAAGATATCAGTAATTAGGAAAGAAAAGCATTGAGGAAGGAAAAGTAAGTTCCTGTGCTATAATATTTCAATGACTTTTTTAAAATCTGATTTTGAAAAGTATAAAATATAAAGGAAAAATACAGAGAATACAATAAATGCTGATTTCTAATTTTTCTCCTTTAAAAAATAAAATATACTATAAAGTCTACAAGGGCCTTTTAAGGCTACTTTTCCTTTCTGAATGACAGGAATTAGCCTTGATAATTCACAGCCACCTTTCAAAATCTTCAGTTTGGCTGTCCTAGTAAATCAGAATCTTTTCTGAAATTATCTGTCACTGTTTTGATTTTCAATATAATACTTTTCAAATGTATTATAAATTTAATTGTAGCTATATGCTTTCAATAAATAAATACTCTATCTTGCCTATTAGAGTATTTATAATCAATGGCAATTAGAAATCACTGCTGAGATACCTGGGAGTTTCAGTAAAATTTCTAGGTAGCATTTTCCTTTAAGGAAAAGAAGCATCTTTTGGGACCCTCAAGAACCATTAGGACTGACTTATCTTAATGAGCTCTCAGCAAGAGGTCAAGGAGGTTTCAGCAAGAATTCTCTTTAAGACTTGCCTGATAGTGGGAACTGATTTTTTGAGGGAGAAAAAAACACCCTGATTTTTGTCTTGAAAAAATCTAGTACTGACTTTTTTTTTTTTTTTTGGTGGTATGTGGGACTCTCACTGTTGTGGCCTCTCCCGTTGCAGAGCACAGGCTCCGGATGCGCAGGCCCAGTGGCCATGGCTCATGGGCCCAGCCGCTCCGCGGCATGTGGGATCTTCCCGGACTGGGGCACGAACCCGTGTCCCCTGCTTCAGCAGGCGGACTCTCAACCACTGCGCCACCAGGGAAGCCCTAGTACTGACTTTTAAAATATTCTTTTCAGTCTTTAAAAAAAAAAATCCTATGTTGCTGACAGATTTCTCCTAAAATTATATATGGTGAATAGAAAGATTTTACCCTCTACCATAAAATAACACTGATTATATTCTAAATTAGTTTATCTTACTTCTCTTTATTCCTTTTATTAAGCTGCAATACTGGCTTAGATTTTATCAATGTTTTCTCAATCATCCAAAAAATAAAAGGCTAAGTTAATAATTCAGAGTATAAATTAGCATCACTCCTTACATTAACCATCCTTTTCAATTTATTTGAAAACTGAAAGGCTAAATTATACTCATTTTGGTATTGGTGCCAAAACTACACTAGTTGGTATTAACAATAAACAACTTTTTAACTCCTAGGTCCCAGCTCCAGTGTTTACAATGATGAGGGTTTTCAGCTGTTTATATGAGCCTTATTCCTTATCATCATGGAAAACCACAAGCTGGCTGGCATTGAGATGCTCTCAACCTTCCTTTGAATTCTATTTTGTACCAGTTCAGGACTACTAGGAAATTTTCAAACAATTTCTTGAGATCCCTATTTTCTATCATCCTGTATGAGAACAGAAGGAAAACAACTTCCTTTGCTTACTTATTAGTTTGAAGAAGTGGTTCTCAACTGAGGAATACTTGAAAGTAGAGACATTTTTACTTACCACATTTTCCTTATCGCAGTATGAACTGAAATCACTTGATACAATTGCAGCATACTGAAGCAGAACTTTATTGATGGTCTAGGAAAAAAAAATTGTGAAATGTATCCAGGTAAGTAAAGACCTATATGTATGTATATACAGATATATGTATCTATCTACACACACACACACACACACACACACACACACACACACACACAATCCAGGTTATGTTAACTGGGAAAACTTTTCTAATGTCATTTTCAGCTGAACAATGGCCATAAGTAGTGATTAAATCTACACCCTTGCCAAAAGAAGGATCTCAATTTAACTATTATATTTAGATGACAATTTGTAATATTTCTGAGTACATTTGGAAGATATTCCACATGCATCCATTCCATTTTAATACAACCAGCTCCATCACAAAATTCTTTATTTCTAACTTATCTAAATACTCAGAAGGTATACTGTTTGGTGGTAACCTCCTCTATGCTTGGATACTTATTACCTAATGCCCCCTAATGATTTTTCTTTTCCTGAATGAATGACACTTCACGCTTTCATCATCTCTCATGGTTTCTAGTTCCCATCCTCACCCCTCTGCCCCTCACACACACACACACACACACACACACACACACACACACACACACGCACCCCTACCATGACAAAATTCCTTGTGATGGTTATTTTTTCAACTTTCTGCCTTGTTCCTAAATACCTCATTATGAGAGGGGTGTCAGAACATTCCCATATATGTCACTTAGCAATGAATATTTTCAGTAATTTTCTATAAGGAGCCTTACTAATAACAAAGACCACCTCTTAAGACCTAAGCTTCAGCTTTTGTGGCATCACACTATCTCAATACATTTACCTTTAATTAGTAAGTTATTTATTGGTGCAATATTTGCTAAAAATATTGCCTAATCCTTCCCCTCTTTCTGTCTTTTTCATCTTAATTCTAAATTCTCCTTCTCCAACTAATAACTCTCTCTGAGCCTAAGGATGCCCTCTGCTCCCATTAATTATGCAAAATAAGGGAAAATGAACAAACTTTGTTACATTTTATTTCAACTACTTAAAGAGATATTGATGAGTTTGCACCCTACTGCTGTTACTTACAGAGCTTGAATTATCGTAAGTCCAATGTGGACATGATTTTCTTAGAAGAGAGAAAGCAACAAGAGAAGTAGATACAGACCATCTCTTTCCATAGAAAAGCAAAGACAAAAAAGATTTTATTTTTTGTATAACCTATTCGTCTGAATTTTCTTTGCGGCTCAAAATCAACTTGGGGAGACAGTCCAAGGAGTTAAACTAAAGGAGACATGTTTAATTTACAAAGCTGAATTCCCCGAATGTGACTATGAACTCGTTTTATAGACTTTAAAAATCACAATGAAAACCTGAAACCTGAAATTAGGGATAACAGAAAATCCATAGTTTGTGGAAGTACAAGGTAAAGTGATAATATGCATCAATTTAAATGGAAGACTGGCTTTGGAAAGTATAACATCTTATCAAGCAGCTGACCAATAAATCTAGGAAAACAGGTGGTGGATCAGACTGAAGTATCTTCCAAATGCACCTTCCAAAACTTATTTTAGATGTAATGTTGAAAATTACTTTGGGACTTCCCTAATGAGTGCTGATTTACTCATACATATGAATACTACTCTCAATTTACAGGTTCTTATGATAGTGTTACCTGCAGGAATCATTTCACTATATGGCAAGAACAAAAACCAACAGAAGCCTGACTTTAGGAGCTTGTTGCAACTCAGACTATCACTTGTTCAAGATTTAGTTTGGGCAGGGGAATCCAGACATCCATTTCTGATTATTCTTAAGGTCTTCGCCTGGTCTAATTCTTGCCTCTACTTTATAGGAAAAACCTAGTCGCTTGAATTCCTGCTGGGAGGAAACTGATCCCACAATCTCGCATCCACTAGCCTACAAATGCCAGTGGTTAGCAAGTCCGGATAGGTTGCATTTAAGGAAAAGGGCTCAGCCACGTAGGATGTAGTTCAAGGCCTTGTGCCCATAAGAGTTGTGAGTACACTGGCTATAACAACATCCATTTCTTTGTGAGTATACAAAGTACACCGGAATGAAAGTGTTCATGTACAATTCAGGGGCAACCTCGATTTCATTCTAATTTATTCAACAAAATAAAATCACTACTATATATTAGTTCTTTAATTAATACTAGTGAGTACAGTTGAACCTTAAACAACCAGGGGGTTAGGGGCGCTGACCTTCCGCACAGTGGAAAATCTACTTATAACTTATAGTCAGCCTTCCATATCTGTAGTTCTTCCATATCTCCGAATTCAACCAACCACAGATCATGTAGCACTGTAGTATTCACTATTTAAAAACTGCGGACCCCCATAGTTCAAACCCACGTTGTTCAAGGGTCATCTGTAGTTAGTTAAGACATGTCTACTTCAGGCATGTCTCCAACAGTATCATAACCATCACCTGGGAACTTGTTGGAAATCTAAATTCCCTGATCCAGTCCCAGATCTACTGAGGCAGCAATTCTGGGGTTGAGTCCCAGCAATTTATGTTTTAACAAGCCTCCAGGTGGTAGTGGTGCAAGCTGAAGTTTGAGAACCATTGTCCTACCTAATGCACAGCAGGGTGGAGATAGCTCTTCAGAGAGAACCAGTTGATGGAAGGGGTACCTAGGAAGGCCTGGAAGGTAGGATTTCTGAGTGTGTGAACTTAGGTCATGATTTTCTTTTTGGTGGACTGTTGGGCTTCGGCAGTGGGGACAGTATAGAGAGAAAGACAGAGAGAGCCCCTGCTTGTGCTTTTCGAGCCCCTGCTTGTGCCCTCCCTGTTCCTACACTCTGCCTCTAAAACAGCCAGTGACGTCTGTACAAATCAAAATTGACTCTCGTTCAGTCTGGACTCTTCCCCATTGCACTCATTTATTGCTAATTAAAATCTGTCCTTACAACTTTAACTAGTATCTGGCTTTGTTTATTTTTGACAAAGGCTCCCCCATAGGGTTGCCCAACCGGTATCTGATGTTGGGTGGGCAGGAAGTAAATCTTTGTTGTGTTAAATCATACAGTTTCTTGGTTTCCTTGTTACCTCAGCAAAACTACCTTACTACAGTTAATAAAGATGCTGCCTCCTACAAGAAGCCCTTTCCTAATCCACCTGTCAGTGAACCAGGCTTAAACTTTTCTAAGAGCCAGAGCCAATGACAGGGTCAGGCTCAAGCCTCCCATTCATAAAGGGTCTCAAATTTAGACTTTTTGTGAGAACGCAAATGAAGTAATCTACTCTTGTGTTGGCGTCTGTGGTTGAAAGCAGTGGCATGTTAAATGTATACATCCTTTAGGGGCTGAATTTTGTCCCTCAAAATTTATATGTTGAAACCCTAACTCCTAATATCTCAGAATATGACTGTATTTGGAGACAGGGCCTTTCAAAAAGTGAGTTAGTTAAAATAAGGCCATTAGTGTGAGCCCTAATCCAATATGACTGGTGTCTTTATAAGAAGAGAAAATTCAGACACACATAGAAACACCAGGGTTGCAGGTACACAGAGGAAAGACCGTGTGAGGACACAGTAAGAAGACAGTCATCTGCAAGAAGCCCTGAGAACCCTCAGAAGACAACAAACCTGCTGACACCTTGATCTTGGATTTATAGTTTCCAGAACTGTGAGAAAATTAATTTTTACTGTTTAGGCCACCATTCTGTGGTATTTTATTTATGGCAGCCCTAGCAAATTAATATGTCTTAAATATTATACAGTTTCACTGAGTTTTGGCATGTCTTTATTTTTTAACATGATCTATATATATCTCTCTCTACCTATCTCTCTCTCTATATATCTATATAGAAGATAGAGAGATACAGATATACACTAGGCCTTTTTCAACCTCTGAGATACCCTGATTATAGCATTTGACTTTTTCATAGTTGTTTATAGGTTTGGCCATCTCATTATAGGTTTTTGAGGTCAGAGATTGTGCTTCTTCATGACTACATCTCTTAAAGTGGCTAGTAAATTGTGCAAGTGAGGCAAAGAGTAAGCCCTTGTCAAATAAGCAGCCAGCTGAAACCTCTGCCATCATCCAACCCATGAAGCCAGGCTTATCCTTAGGGCCGTCAGGCATAGGGGTGCGTAGGTCATTGCCCTACATCCCTACATTTGTCATATCAGTACCGTGATTCAAAATCTCCAAATATTCACTGTTTCTTAAACTGTTCAAGAGATTAAGTATAAACTTCTCAGCCTGGGAAGCAGAGCTCTTCAAGATCTGGACCCATCCTCACTCTCCTAACATTCCCCACTACTTCTCCCAGAACAGATTTTTTTTTTTCCTTTTCTTTTCCTTTTTTTTTGCTTTTTTGCCAGAGGATTGTTTCTCCCTGCTCTTCACGTCACACTCAGCTTTTCCTTTCCCTTTGTTCCTGCTATTCCCGTGGCTTACAATACTTTTCTAACTTCACCTTTTTAGGCTGAATGAGCCCTGTTTTCCCAGGGAAACTGTATTTCAGCTCTCGTTAGTTTTCCTTCTGCTCAACTTACTGTGCACTCTACTGTGCTTGAGATTGAATTGTGGACCTCTTCATGCCATCTTCCAATTAGTTCATGTCATGTGGTCTTGATTATTTTATATATATATATGTATATATATATATATTTGAAAGGCCAGAGACAGCATTTTTTATTTCTTATACTTCCCCAGAAACTTTTGCAAAATAGTAAGTACTTTGCAAGCCTTCTTAGACAGTAAGAGGAGGAAGAGGTCTTCAGAGGAATCTGGTTGCTCAAAATCAATTTGCCAACTAAGAAAACTAAACTCATAAAAATCAAGGGACTTTGTGACCTTGCTTGTGACCACCTAGAGGGTGGGTGGGAGACATAAGAGGGAGAGGATATGGGGATATATGTATACGTATAGCTAATTCACTTTGTTATACAGCAGAAACTAACACACCATTATAAAGCAATTATACTCCAGTAAAGATGTTAAAAAAAAAAATCAAGGGAACTGCTCAGACTCACACTACAGTTATTGGCTGATTTGAAGTTAGAACTCAGTTTTCATTACTCCAAGTTCAAATACTTTTTATCGTACTACTGATTAAAAAAAATACCTGCGATTTGAATATGAAATTCCAAGATTTATTTTCAGCTACAAAGCTGAAATAGAAATTAATTTGGCCACCTAAGGTAGTCTCATCAATTACAAATGACTGAGTCATTCATGTGAATAACAGATTTTTTTAAGATGATAAATCCATACTTAGGAAACAGGAAGGGTAAAAAGAGAGAGAGATGACAAACCTGAAACAGCCTATTTTTACTGGAATTAGAAAATTAAATTGGGGTAGTAGTCAGACAAGACTAATGCTACAAAACAACAGCATTTTTCAAATTCTGTGCAGGAAAATAACAACATGCCATAGTCCCAGCGAAGAAAGGATTCATTCCATTTAACCTACCTTTGCAAATCTTCTCATTAAGTGAGCTAATGCTTCAGGATTGGGGCATTCCAGTTTCTTAATAATCTCAAAGCTCTGATTAAGCTGAGCAAAGACATCAACCACAGAGGAAGAAAACAGTGCGTGATCAGACGTCTGCTGGAACTGAGGGGAGAAAAGGTGAAACCATCCTCATAAGCGTACTTTAGAGGGACTGTGGAAGGAATCTTCATTATTTCACAAAAAGAGCTCAATCTCCTATATCATGTACTTTCATTTCCCAGTAATAAAATGCTTGCTCATTTTAAAATCATCCATCTCCTTTTCTGGAAAGTGTAGTAAAACTAATATCATGGGGCAGGTTGCTATTAATTGGTTTCTCCATTACTGAATTGAGGGACTGGTTCTTTCAATTTCTCATTCCCCACAGGCATTAAGATGGTTTAGCAAGCCGATTGTGGCTCAAGACATTTGATTTGCTCCAGAGGGATTGGGAGGGTGTCTGTTCCTAATCTTGGAATCCTGGAAGGGTTCCAGAACAACAGGGGAGCTTTGTATAAGCCCACTGAACTTGTAGATTCAGACCAATTCAAGGAGTAAAGAATCTTGGGGTAAAAGGGTGATCGATTTTTTTTAAAAGCAATTCCCTAGGGTTCTTATCAGCATTTAAAATTGTGTTTTAATTATATTTTGGTAATGAGAGGATTAAAATTAAACTTAATTAATAGCAATAAGCCTAAAAATTCCCATTAGCTTAAAAGTGAGCAGTGTAAATGAATCTTGACAATAAGCAATCTGAAAGTCATTTAAACTCACTCCATCTTTTTTGTCTCTTCCCAGGGCTCCATTAAGGAACTCCATTGACACGTCTTCATTTTCATCTAGCCACTGCATGACAAAAGGTTCAAACCACCTGAAAAAAAAATCGATAGTATTGCATACTATAAAAGATGTCATTTGCACATGATTAACAGTGAATACTGCTCTTTTCTTATCTGAGAGTAATTCAGGACCAAAAATCTCTTTTCATTCTCTTTTTCTAGTTCTGCTACCTTGAAGACCTTTAGTTTCACTTCTCAAACATCCCCTTCTCAAAATTCCTTGGCAGTCCAGCGGTTAGGAGTCCAAGTAAGCTTCCACTACATGGGGTACAGGTTCATGGGTTCAATCCCTGATTGGGGAACTAAGGTCCTGCATGCTGTGCAGTGTACCATATACATGTATGTGTATA